TTCCCCATAGGCTCTGCTGACCCCCGAGGACGCGGTCCTGTCGGATGAGCTGAACCACGCCTCCATCATCGACGGCATCCGGCTGTGCAAGGCCCATAAGTACCGTTACCGCCACCTGGACATGGCTGACCTAGAAGCTAAGCTACAAGAGGCTCAGGTGAGGTGAGGCCCTGGGGCTCCAGAGAAAGGCCTGTCTTCCCCTACTCAAGGAAATAGGCTTGGGGGGGGGGGCGGTGCTCCCCCTTCACAAATAGCCTGAAGGGCCGAGGGAGCCATTTCAACTTCCTCATCCCTTGTGTCCAAGACTGTATTCTATAGTTCCACATGGCCTGAGGTCAGCAAGCACCTTTGAGCAGCAGGTGGGTGGATGATGTGTGACTAGGACCTGTCCCTACTCCCGCATGCCCTCTTGAGGTCTGAGTCAGGATGGGGAGGTCTAAGCCCTTTCCCAGTGCCAGGACTAAGGCAGCTGAGCTCGGAAGAGTTGGACAAGGCTCAGGCTACAGTTAAAGAGCAGGTGGGTTGGTCCCGCTACTTATCACATGCTCTTGTCTGTCCCACAGAAGCACCGACTGCGCCTGGTGGCCACAGATGGAGCCTTCTCCATGGATGGCGACATTGCTCCTCTGCAGGAGATCTGCCGCCTCGCTGCTCGATATGGGGCCCTGGTCTTTGTGGATGAATGCCACGCCACTGGCTTTCTTGGGCCCACTGGACGGTGGGAACATTTGCGGCCTGGGTGGGGGCTTCTGAAGGTGGATGGGAAGTTGGGAGGCCAGGGGCAAGAGCGGTTGCTTCCTTTGCAGAGGCACAGATGAGCTGCTAGGTGTGATGGACCAAGTCACCATCATCAACTCTACTCTGGGGAAGGCACTTGGCGGAGCATCAGGTGCCTATGGAATCCTCTCTGTGGGGTCTCCTTCCCTACATGCAGGGCCTGCCTTGTATGGGGTAGAGAAGGCAGGGAGGGCAAATGGAGGGAGCGGCAGTATAGATGACAGGAGGGGTCTGGGGCAGTTCCTGGCCCCTGACTGGCTCCTCTTGCATTATTTTCTGTCTTTAGGGGGCTATACCACAGGGCCTGAGCCTCTGGTATCCCTGCTACGGCAGCGGTCTCGGCCCTACCTCTTCTCCAACAGCTTGCCCCCCGCCGTCGTTGGCTGTGCATCTAAGGCCCTGGACCTGCTCATGGGGAGTAACACCATCGTTCAGTCTATGGCTGCCAAGACCCAGAGGTATGGTGCCCACAGGGCCGGAGCAGAATGGGAGGGAGATGGTAGTCCTGCATCTTTCTGCCTCCTCTCGCCTGCCTTCCTCTGTTCCTCCCCATCCCCCTCTGTCACAGCATCTGTCACCTCCTTCCATCTCCCATGCCCTTGTCACTCCTGCTCTCCCACCTCCCTCCATCCGTCCATCCGTCCTGCCTCCATCTGCCCCTGCCTGTGCCTCACCTGCTTCTGGGGTCTGTACGTCTGTCCTCATTACTTCCTCTCTTAGGTGGCATAGATCCTGGGCCTCTTCTCCTGGCTCCACGACCTTCTGCTACCCGTGACACTCAGCTGTGTCCCCAGGTTCCGCAGTAAGATGGCAGCTGCTGGCTTCACTGTCTCAGGAGCCGACCACCCCATCTGCCCCGTGATGTTGGGTGATGCCCGGTTGTCTTCTCAAATGGCAGATGACATGTTAAAGAAAGGTAAGAGGGCTGGGGGCAGAGTGTCCTCGGAGAAAAGAACACCTGTAGACTGCAGAGTCTCCCTAGACCCATGTCCTGCTCCTCCTGCCCACACCACCTCTTAGGTCAACCATCTGTCCAGACTTAAACTCTAGACTACGAGGCAGCCCCGTGTCTGGGAGCTCGGCAGCTCCCTTGCTCACTGTGGTGGACTTTGGAACAGCAGGCCCTTATAGGTCACGGTCCCAAAGCCTGTCTGCCTCTGTGTGCCTTCCCTATCTTCTCAGGCATCTTTGTCATCGGATTCAGCTACCCTGTGGTCCCAAAGGGCAAGGCTCGGATCCGGGTCCAGATCTCAGCCGTACACAGTGAGGAGGACATTGACCGCTGTGTGGAGGCCTTCGTGGAGGTGGGGCGGCTGCATGGAGCTCTGCCCTAAGCTCTGGGTAGGGACCAGCAGAGCCAGTGTCCCTCTACTGCCGTAATGACAAAGGGGTCCTCTGGTCAGTCCAGACTAGAGGCCCTGACCCAACCCAGACTTGTAGAACCTGACTGAAAATGGGCCTGTACTTGTGGTCGGAGAAACAACAGTGTGAAAATTGGCTTATGACACTTTGGTCTGCTTTATTCTTTCTGAGTAGGCCCAGTCCTGTAGCTAACTGATAATCAGGTAGGGACTGGGTCCCTGAGGTCAGTCCCCGGCATGAGGTGACTCCTTCCCCCAAATTGAGTTTTGAAATCCTGTGTCTGGGAGTTATCATTTGGTACAGCCGGGGTCTGTGCTGCTGTGGAGGGCAGCTGAGAACCGGCCCTGTGGACCCTTTCCTCAGTCTAACTGTGGTGGCTTGTCTCCTGTGCCCATCTGAAGGACAAAACACAGCTGCCAGTTGAGAGGGTTTCCTGGACCTGTGTTTGGGAGAGGGCAGAGGATTCAGGCCCCAAAGAGAAGAAAGCGGGTCGCCACTGAAGGACATCTACCTTTGTTTTCTAGAGCTCTTCATCCCTAATTCCATGGCCTTAGGCCCCTGTGCATGTCCCAGGTTCCCCCATTTTACAGAGCTGCTGTTCCACCGCGAGCCACACCTCTCTGACTCTGGGTCCAAAGCCTATGTAGTCTGGTGGTCAGCCGCCAGAGGGCGCAGCGAACTCGGGCTCCCGCCGCTGCCTGCCCCGCCTCCTTGAGCTGGGGGCCTTGGACCAGGCTGTTGGGCAGCCCTCCGGCAAGGCCAGAAGGGGTGGTTTGCTGCCGCCAAGGCCTTGTCCTTTGTCTTCCCCACTCACAAACACCACCTACTCCATTATCGTAGGTGTCAGCCTCCCTTCCCACATGGCTGATCTGGCACTGTGGGAGGATAGGGGAGGTCTCCGCTCTCAGGCCCAGCCTCCCAGGCTTCTGAGAGCCGCTGCAGACTCAGTGTGGTGGCCTTGGGAAGCTCCTTAATTTGCTTGAAGTAGAACTAAGGACCAAAGGCGCTTGCTTTTTCACTAGAAACAGGAAACAAGGCCTCATCCCTCCTCCAGCTCACCTGTCGGGCACCAGGACGGTCAGAGAGAGAGCTCCAACCTAACCTTGCAGATTCTTAAAGTTGGGGTTCTGGGAGTCCTCAGTTGCAACCCGGTAGTGCTGGAAGGGTTGCAGCCTGGCAGGAGGCGGTTGTGCTTACGTCGAGGGCAGGAATGCCTACAGACCACCAGGTATTCCTGATGAGTGTTGATTCAACGTGCAGCGCTGGGCCAGAAGCTTGGTGTGTGTGTTCTGTGCAGGCTGACAGGTCACGCCTGGGGGCCGAGAGCAGCCACTGGGTGATGTGTGTGGCATAGCCAGCCAGGGCCAGAACACTAGGCCCAGGTCCACGCACATCTAAGTGAGGCTGTGGGAAGTGTGATCTGCCAGCCAGTGGCATAGCACGAGAGCCCCCTCCTGCAGTGCCCGGGCATGCTGCTGGCATTGTTTTCCGGGAGGCAGTCCCTGTGGCAGCTGCACTGACCTCCTGGGCCACTTGGCCATGGTATCACTCCATGCTGTCAACCAGTATGGGTCTCAGGGGGCCTGGCGCCTGATCCAGGTTTGGTTCCCTTGCCTTGCAGCTACTCTGCCCTTCAGAAGGGGTCCTAGGAGGTGCCCAGTACACACAGCAGCCCCTTAGGGTACACATGTCCCAGCGTGGGCACATACTGATGGTCTTCGAGCTCCTGTGACAAGCTGTAAGGCATTGGAAGACTGGAGAACCAGCTGCAGGCCGGCCATAAGTCCTCATCTGGCTGAGCCCAGGGCTCCAGGGCCCGCTCCTAGGCCACATGGTCCTTGTCCTCTGCATCAGGCCCCATGGGGTTCAGGATGGAGGCTGGCAGCAGCCAGGGGAGGAGGTGGTGGCAAGGACACCCTGGGGCTCCAGCCATGATGGTCTGTCCTTCCTGCCCCACACCCAGGCTCTCAGTGACCTCTCCCTGCCCCCACTGTATCAGCTCAGCCCTGCTGCTGCTCAGAACCCTTTGCCCTGGTACTTTGGAGGCCAACCCCAGCAGGGAAGGAGGGGGTCTGGAGGCCAGGCCAGCGGGAGCTTCCTGGTCATGGAATTCATCTGGGTCTGGGACTTGGGTATGGATATGTGGGTCCACACTTGTGGAAGTCTTACTGCATTGTTGCCCACGTCATTGACCTCACACCCCGTCTAGAGTCCTACCAGTGCCCTGTCCAGGGATTCCCAAGGTCCTGCTTTTCAGATCGTCGGCTCCAATGGTTCCAAAATTCAGCTTTGCAGTTTCTAGAGCTGACCCCTTAATAGCGTCAATCCAGTGAGTCTCTGCATGTGGGGTTGGTGACGGTCGAGAGAGGCCTGGTAACTGTCTGGAGACTTCCCACAGGAACTGGTCTCGAAGAGTTTCCCAGCTCTCCCAGGCCTGGCTCCATGGAGCCCACACACTCTTCTCTGATGTCCCCTCCACCTCCAGGTTCTAGACTCTTGTCCCTTCCTAACTCACAGCAGACTGTCTTCAGCCCTGGATACACTTGTCCAAGATCCAATCCAGGTTGCCAAGTCTAGTGCCTCTTGCTCCAAAAGTAGCAGCTGCTCTACCCCTAGAAGCGTTTGGCCACAGAACACAACCCTAAGGGTTCAAGGTAGGTCATTCACCAACAACTCCTAACCTCTGGTTCCCGCCCAGACAGGAGGCTGTCGGAAGAACTAAGAGCGGACATCTCCTCTGTTCTTCTAACCTCAGCCATAGCAAAGTCCTTACAGAATGAAAGGCACAGGTCATGTTCTACCTCTAGAACCTTGTCTAGCCCCCCCCCCCCCCCCCCCCCCCCGTGGCTTTCAGGCTAAACTAAGACTTGGTTTACAGTGAACGAAGCCCCTGAAACCAGCTTAGGGAAGGAAATGGCTCTCTGGGGTTCACAGAATGCAAAGCACGGGTTCCTACCTGAAACCCACAGCAAAGACACTTTGGTTCACGTTTCCTAGTCTTGGAAACTCCATTTCAAACTAGAAATCCTTTCTGAGCTTAGATCAGAGTTTTTACCTGGAGCCAGGGAAGCTAGGAAATAGGGGGAGGAGTCACAGGCAGGGCCACAGGAGGTGGGAGGGGCCAGGCAGTGGGCTGAGCCCTGGCCGTGGAGGGGTTAACCACAAAGCCAATCTCATAGAGCGAGATGATCAATGGGTTACTGCCCGTGAAAGAGAGAGTGAAGCAGCATCAACGCAGACAGGCAGGGAAAGAAGAGCCGGGCAGAAGAGCATGCCGCCCCGGGGAAATCAGAGTCTGAGGAGGTTGGCCAGTCCACTCCGGAGCAGTAGCAAGTGCCCGCATCCAACTCAGCAGAGAGCTGAGGGCAGCTGAGAGGAGAGGAGGGGCCGCGAAGACGAAGGAAGAGAAATAGGAAGCAGAGCCGTACCTGCAGGGAGGCACCAAGGGCAGCGGCTGAGCCGAGAAGCTCCAGCCTCGCGGTTCACCAGGAAGCATGCAGGGGCCCGGTGCCTAAGGCTGAGGTGGGTGTTGCCCAGCCCGGGCTTGGGGGCCTGTGGCATGATGGGTGCTACGCAGGGGCAGATATCATCTTTCTTCCCACCTCCCTTCCTCCTGACCCCACCGCTCCAGGGGTCCTGGAGGGCAAGGGGATCCACAGGTTGGGAACTGTGGGGTGGGGCAGGGATGAAAACGGGCAGTGTGCACACAGACACGTGCACTGGGACGTGTGCGAGGAGTCAGGGGCACCACCTGTTACAGTCTTTCAGACGGGCACACCAGCCTCAGGTCTGTCACTCGGGGTGTGATATCAGCCACTCACGTCACCTCTCTAGGACTCAGTTTCCCTATGCACAGAGCAGAGGCAGTGACTTCCATGGTCTTCATAGCTTTGCCACTGTGGGGCTTGTGTGAGAATGGACTCTCCAATGACTCGGGGATGTCACCAGTGCCGCCTGTGGCCACACACACACACACACACACACACAATGTCCCTAAGTACAAGGGTCTCTCCTGAACTTAGACCTGGTAGAAAAGGAAAATATACCCACATCCAGAGTTTGTGCTGCCCCCCACCCACAACATCATCTTATTCTTGTTTCACATGCCTAAGTCCAGAGTAACCCAAACGGCCTTCCAGGCTCTAGGTTACAGAGGTGTTCCCTAGGAAACCAAGGAGTAGCGCTCACGTGAGAGCATACACGCACGTGTGCACGCGCGCGCGCGTACACACACACCAAAGTGACTGTGGCAGGTTCTTGCTCACGCAGTGATTTTTTTTTCCCCCCTGCTTTGCTCTACCCTCTTCCATCTCTCATGAACTTCTAGCCCAGGGCACCTAGTCAGATCCAGGCTGGAGGAACCAGGCCCCTGGGTCAAGTGCCCGGAGCCCTGGCCTCCGGTCTGAGGACCCGTTTTCTCTTGCTCATCTGATAGGAAGATGACTGACATCCAGAACATTTCGCTGGACAGCCCGGGGAGCATAGGGGCTGTGGCGGTGCCTGTGGTCTTTGCCCTCATCTTCCTGCTGGGCATGGTGGGCAACGGGCTGGTGTTGGCCGTGCTGCTACAGCCTGGCCCAAGCGCCTGGCATGAGCCGGGCAGTACCACAGATCTCTTCATCCTCAACCTGGCGGTGGCCGACCTCTGCTTCATCCTGTGCTGCGTGCCCTTCCAGGCGGCCATCTACACGCTGGATGCCTGGCTCTTCGGGGCTTTTGTGTGCAAGGCCGTGCACCTGCTCATCTACCTCACCATGTACGCCAGCAGCTTCACTCTGGCCGCCGTCTCCGTGGACAGGTGAGCTGTACCCTGGGCAGGCCGGACAGGGATCCAGATAGATTCTCATTGGTTAGTGGAGGAGAGACGCGGGACCCAAGGTTGGTGGGCATAAAAGGGAAGCCTCGGTGGTACCCGCCCTTTCCACCTCCACTGTGAACCTCCAGGGGACATTTCTGTGTCCTGAGTGTCGGCCCAGGCCTGGTATAAGGGTGAAGTGTACAGCAGCAAAAGAAACTCCAGGGCCTGGTGTGCCGGCGCGCACCTTTGATCCCAGCACTCCAGGGGCAGAGGTAGGAGGATCTCTGTGAGTTCGAGGCCAGCCTGGTCTACAAAGCGAGTTCCAGGGCAGCCAGGGCTACACCGAGAAACCCTGTCTCCAAAACCCAAAGAGAAACAAGAAACTCCCAATGCATTCTTCAGATGCTAAGTCCCCACACCTGGCCCACATGGCCCTCACATCGGCTTCCGGGGCTCGAAACTCCCTAACCGATGACCGTGGGCGAGTCACTTCTCTTTGGGGGCGGTGGGCCCTTGCTAGATGCCAGGCCAGGGGGGTGGGATGTTTGGAAGATGAAGGCAGGTCCGGGAGGGCGGGGCGCGCGGGAGGCCCCGCCCCCTCCGGCCCCGCCCCCTGACCGCGCCCCCTCCGGCCCCGCCCCCTGACCGCGCGCCCCCTCCGGCCCCCCGCAGGTACCTGGCGGTGCGGCACCCGCTGCGCTCGCGGGCCCTGCGCACCCCGCGCAACGCGCGCGCCGCCGTGGGGCTGGTGTGGCTGCTGGCGGCGCTCTTCTCGGCGCCCTACCTCAGCTACTACGGCACGGTGCGCTACGGCGCGCTCGAGCTCTGCGTGCCCGCCTGGGAGGACGCGCGGCGGCGCGCGCTCGACGTGGCCACCTTCGCCGCGGGCTACCTGCTGCCGGTGGCCGTGGTGAGCCTGGCCTACGGGCGCACGCTGCGCTTCCTGTGGGCCGCCGTGGGCCCCGCGGGCGCGGCGGCGGCCGAGGCGCGCCGACGGGCCACGGGCCGCGCGGGGCGCGCCATGCTGGCGGTGGCCGCGCTCTACGCGCTCTGCTGGGGCCCGCACCACGCGCTCATCCTCTGCTTCTGGTACGGCCGCTTCGCCTTCAGCCCGGCCACCTACGCCTGCCGCCTGGCCTCGCACTGCCTCGCCTACGCCAACTCCTGCCTCAACCCGCTCGTCTACTCGCTCGCCTCGCGCCACTTCCGCGCGCGCTTCCGCCGCCTGTGGCCCTGCGGCCGCCGCCGCCACCGCCACCACCACCGCGCCCATCGCGCCCTCCGTCGGGTCCGGCCGGCGTCTTCGGGGCCCGCCGGTTATCCCGGCGACGCCAGGCCTCGCGGGTGGAGCGTGGAACCCAGAGGGGATGCCCTGCGCGGCGGAGAGACCGGACTAGCCCTGACCGCCCGGGGACCGCACTAAACCCTGCCTGCTTGGATTCGGCCGGCCGGCTGTCAGTCTGTCCTCCTCCCTGGGTGGCACGGTGCCACCGAGGAGCGCCTAGAGAGAGCGTGGCAGGCAGCCTGGCCAGGCTCCACCGCAGAGCCGAGGCAGAGTTGCAGCTCTAGGCCAAGGGACAGCCGGGTGGTTAAAACTGGTCCACCCAACCAGACACAGTGTCCCCAAAAGCAGGCAGCCTCAGACCCTATCCAAAGCCGGTCTAGCAGGAGAACAGTCCATTCATTCACCCAGCTCACACCTGCCAGGCCCTGTTTTCTTCTACTACCTCTGACTGGCCCTTTTTGATCCCAAGTCCCGACCTAAGTGTTTTTGTTTGTTTTGTTTTGAGAGAGGGAGACAGAGGTAGAGACTGATTCAAGTAGTCTAGGCTGGCCTGGAACTGCCTACTGTAGCCAAGGATGACCTTGAACTCTTCATCTTCCTGCTTCTATGTCCCAAGTGCTGGAGTGACGGGCACCGCAGACCCCTGGCTTGTTCAAGCAGGGATTAGCAAGTATTTCCTTAGCTCTTAACTGTGTACCTCACAGAATGCTATAATTATCGAGACAGCTTAAGGCAGGGCAGATATGATTAACCTTATGTTACAGACGTACAGCGCAAGGATCAGAGAGTGCTTGGTAGAGGCTAGATCCAAATCCATGGCTATCTAACGGTTTTCACTCAGCGGCCTTTCTTCTCTTCCGCTGGTTTATTTTATCTTTTGTTTGTTTTTGAAGCCTTTGTGAATGGTAGGCAAGGGCTCTCCCGCTGAGCTGTGTTCCCAGCCTGGGTTTGCTCTTGGTTTACTTCTGACTTGCAGCTCTTCTGCTCCACACATCTGATTCCATGTTCTAGAAGCTTCAGAGCTCCCAGGCACCTTCCTTCAGAGTTCTGCTTGGCTCCTGAGGCAGTTCTGCGGTGGGCTCCCTGTAGTCATGCAGTCTTGGGGTCAGCTCCCTGGCCCAGACACCTTGCATTGTTCACTGAGCTCTTTGGTGTTCCTGGCTCAAAAGAGACACTGAACCTCCTTGCTTGGGCCCCAGCTGGCCTCTTAGAGGCTCCCCCTTCCCCCCTTCCCTTCTCCCCTCCCCACACACAGCTGAGAAAGTCTGTAGCTGTGGAAAAGACTAATTAACCAATAAATCAGTCTTGCTGGGTCCCAAGCTGCCTGCTTCTGCCCTGCCTTTCCAAATGTCAATACCGTTGATTAGTTTCGAGCCCTAACACACCTCCTGTCTGCTGCTGCATGGAGCACTCTGGGAAGGGCTCTCCCTGTCAGTGGGCAGCTGCTTGGTGGTCATTACGACCTGCCACCTGCTGCCAACAGACAGAGAAGTCAGAGTAGCAGGAGGGGGCTGAGATCAGCCAGGGAGGTAGTAACTGCTTCCAGGACTCAGTCAGGCCTCCACGCTGGGCCTAGTGTTTTCCCCAAAGATTCTGCCAAGGTTCCAGGCTCAGTGAGAAAGTTCCCTGAAGGCAGGGAGAGTGTTGTTGCCCCTGTGTGGCATCCATGGTGGCTGTCACTGGAAGGCAAGGGGCAGTGCTCCATTTCTTTGGGAACAGGGCGGCAGATAACATGACCAGACACAAGCACAAATGAGTAGCAGATGGTAGTATCATTTGAGTAAATGTGGAAGTACCCTAAGTATCAGCCCCTGAATGGAATATGGAACTCATACACTGGTATATCATTCCATATATAAATAGAAATATAAGCCACAGAAGACAGGCCTTGAAAATAGGCAATGAGACATATATTGTATACCTCTGTTTACATGAAGTTCCTGGAATCAGCAAATTTACTAAGACAAAACCCAACTTGCTGTTTGCTTAGGTCTGGGGGTGTCGGGGAGAATGGGATGAGAATGCTAATAGGTGCTGAGTTTCTTCTGGGGTTGAAGGCCCTAAAACTAGATCAGTAGGGCTCAGTTGGGAGAGTGCTTGCTTGCTCGGTGTGCAGAAAGCTCTGGGTGCAATCAAGCTTTGAGTTCAATCCCCAGAAGGTGGTAGCCAACTCGGGACTGTAATCTAAGCACTTGGGAAATGGATGCGGGAGAATCACAAGTTTGCAATCAGTGGGCCAGATGTGGTGGTGCATGTCTTTAATCCTAGCACAGGGGAGGCATGCAGCTCCCCTTTGTGATTTTTGAGGCTGACTTGGTCTACATAGTGAGTTCCAGGCCAACTAGGGTGTAGTAACAACCTGTCTCAAAAAAAAAAAAAAAAAAAAAAGAAAGAAAGAAAGAAAAGAAAAAGGATTGTCCTTGACTATGTATCAAGTTCAAAGCCAGCATGAGACCCCCATCTCCAAAAAAAAGAAAAAGTGGGAGGGAGCCGGCAGAGAAGATGACTCACCAGACAAAGGGGCCTGCTGCCAAGCCTGAGAACTTGAGTTTGATTTCCCAGAACCCACATGGTGGAAAGAGAGAATCCATTCCTACCAGTTGTCCTGACCTTCACGTGTGTGGTGGCATGTTTAAACATGAACACATTCTCCCCACGCATACACTCATACAGATAGATAACGCTGTTAAAGCAAAAATAAGTGGGATGTTATGGTTGCACAGCTTTAATTCCATCACTCAGGAGACAGAGGTAAGCAGATCCAATGTGAGTTTGAAGCTAGCGTGGTCTACGGAGCAAGTACCAGGCTAGCCTGGGCTATACGGAGAGATCCTGCCTCGAAAGGCAAAAGTAAAATACAGGTAGATCATCACAATGCTGGGCCACCATGGGACACGCCGACACCATTAAAGTGTGCAGATAAAGTGGGTGTAATTCACATGTAAATCATATTTCAATCAGTACATTTGGAATACAAAACTAAGGTTGGTCTGGGACCCAACTAGACCCAGGGGCCATTTTCAGGGCAATCTAGCAACTTTGAGTAAATACAGGAAGGGCGGCTGAGAAAGCTGGCCGACAGTACACCCCTGCAGAATAGGAATGGAGACGGGAAACCCCCAAGCTGGCCTAGAGGAAGCGAGTCTAGCCACCCAGTAGTTCTCTGTAGGTCCAGGCAGGTGACCCAACTCGACCTTTGTGAACCAGAGAAGATGATGGTCTCTGAGACCCTTCACAGTGGCCCGAGACTCCGCTCAACTGGTAGAGGACCACTGGACAGCCAGACCCCTCGGGGGCTTACGGAAACCTCCTGCTTTTGAAGCAGGACTCTGGCTCAGTGCAGCCACCCAGGGGCCTGTGGACTGACTAAGGGGAGCCCTGGAAGCTTGGCACAGTGTAGGCAGGCCGTGGGTGGATACTTGTATGTGATGCAGGACAAGGTACCAGGGAAGAGAAGGTCGGTCCCCGCCCTTCTTTTCTTTAGCCACAAAACATCAACCGCAAGCCTGGCTTTAAGAGAAACCAGAGGTGGCCCGAGTTCATCCGGGCTCTGTCAGCTGGGAGCCTGGCTAGAGAGCTAACTCCAAGAAAAGGAAAAGCACAGTGACATGAAGAGTCTGGTGCGATAGACCTGTTGCTGGGAAATCACAAGTTCAATGCCTACCTAGGCTATAGAGTGAGTTCAAGGCCAGCCTGGGCAACTTAGTGAGACCTGTCTCAAAAAGTAAAGAGAGAGCTAGGGATATAGCTCAGTGGTAGAGTGCTTGCTTAGTATGCATAAAGCCCTGAGTTCAATTCCCAGTAGTGCCAGAAAGAGAAAGAGGCCCTAACAGAAGAACACACTGACCTGAAATGACCCAGAGAGGAAAGTTGAACGATCCCTGAACAGTGCAAACGAGAATTCCAGAGAGAACCTCTGTGAGTGTGTCTGTGCATGTCCATTTGTGTGTGCGTGGTGTGTAAGCCCGAGGTCCAAACTGGGTCTCTTCCTGAACTGATCTCTACCTTATTTTCTCTCACTGAATCTGAAGCTCCCTAATTTGGCCAGAAAATCCTTGAGCTCCTCCTGTCCCAGCTTCCTCAGCCAGCGCTAGGATTACATGGCTTTTGTTTCCTTTTGTTGAGGTGGGGCCTCACTATGTAGCCCTGACCAGCCTGGAATTCACAGAGATCTGGCCTGCCTCTGCCTCTGCCTCTGCCTCTAGAATGCTGGGGTTATAGGCGTGTGCCGGCCAGCTGTGGCTTTTTTTTTTTTTTTTTTTTTTTTTTTTTTTTTTTTTGGTTTTTCCAGACAGGGTTTCTCTGTGTAGGTTTGGAGCCTGTCCTGGAACTTTCTCTGTAGCCCAGGCTGGTCTCGAACTCACAGAGATCTGCCTGCCTCTGCCTCCCGAGTGCTGGGATTAAAGGCGTGCATCACCACCACCCGGCCAGCTGTGGCTTTTTACCTGGGTAGCTGGAGACCAAACTCAGGTCCCCTGGCTTGCAAACCTGAGCTATCTCCTGGGCCTGCTGTGTATCCTGGATTACCTGGTGTACTTACTATGTAGCCCAGGTTGGCCCCAAAGTCACAGCATTTCCCCTGCCTCAGCCTCCTGAGTACTAGGTTGCAAGCATGCATCACCGTGCCTGGCTCCTGAGGTGACATGTAAAGAAGCACTTTTTTTTTCCTGAAGGAAGGCAACCCACAAGAGGCAGGGGTGAGGAGCCGAAAGCAAGCTTACACAGCTCCCGTGGGAGGGGTGGGTAAGCCTAGTGGGGACAGCAGTAAATTCATCTCTTGGGCAGACCAGGATGGGCAAACCATGGTTTCCCGGAGGGAAGAGGTGGAGAAGTTGGGCTCCCTCTGAGGCATTACTCAGAAAGCCCCAGGGTTGTGTTCACAGGCTGGGAGCCCAGTGGGGTAAGCCCTCAAGGCCTGGACCAGAGCTGGAAAATGGTTTCTGCAGAAACAGGACAGGAAAATTGATGGCCTGCTGCTAGGTTTGGGCTTGGCTTCCAGGATTCAAGGGTTTGTTTCAGGGAATAATGATGTACTCGGAAGAGCAGGTGGTTGCAATGATTTGTTAGGAGAGAACCGTGTGTCCTGTGGAGCCCAAGGCAGGCAGTGGGGGCTGGAGTGGAGGCTGAGTGAGACCAGGATGCTGCCCTCAGAGCCCAGGAGAAGTCACCTGACCCAAGGCCCCAGCAAAACTCAGGCCAAGGCTGGGGTAGTCTCAGTGGGACGAAGGTCTTCCTAGCTGGAGCAAGGTTTAGATTCTGCAACCCTTGCTTTCTAATTGATGAAAAATCTTTTTTCTTTTTTTTTTTTTTCGAGACATGGCTTCACTGTGTAGACCAGGCTGGCCTTGAACTCACAGAGACCCACTTGCTTCTGTCTCCTGAGTGCTGGGATGAAAGGCCTATACCACCATGCCCAGCTGGTGCAAAACTCCTAAGGAGCGGTGTGTATTCACTCACATGTGAGTACCTGTCAGGCACAGCAGGGAAGACAGCTGGGACTGTGGAGCCCAGAGAAGAGCCCATCATCACAGTGTGGACTCCCAGAAAAGACTTCCTGGAGAAGCTGTGCCCAAGGCCACTCATTAAATGTGCATTCACTGTGGCCCAAAGAGGAAGGCCTGAAAGACCATTTGTAGGGGCTACTGACGGCAGGGGCCTGCGATGGCGCGGGATCCCCTCAGGACAGGACGCCAAGGTGGTGGGGACATTGTGAAGAAGGCTCTAGGTTGCATCTGGACTGGAGACTGGACCCCTCCTGAGGGCAATGAGGGGCTCTTGCTCTGGTTCTGAAACCAGAGTGATTCCATGAGGTATCAGGAGCTTTCTGTCGCTTTCTGTGGTGTTGTGTGGTGGAAGAACCAAGAAAGACGGGGGGGGGGGGGGGGGGGGGGGCAGGGACACCGGTCAGGCTGGCGAAAATCCAGAGAGCCGAAGAGGGCCAGGACAAAGACACTGGGCCGGGGCCGGGGGCGGGGGTGGGTGGTGGGTGGGATTCAAACAGCGAATCACGTGGGAAGTACAATTGTCAGGACTGATGACCGTTGAGGAAGAAGAAAGAGGTACCTCGGATGACACCCAGGCTTCTAGCTTGAACCCTGGGGTGGCAGTGGGGACACCTAAAGGGACAGATTCAGGGGAAGGTGATGAGCTGGGTGGAGACATATTAAAGGGAGGGATCTAGGTGGGGCGGGCTGCGGGGTCCTCAGGGAAATGGAGTACTACGCCTGCCACGTTTTATTTAGTTCTTGTGCTTGGCTCTGGAACTTACGCCTCATCTGCTTTAGTTGGAAGGTGAAGAGGGTGAGACCAGGAAGGCTGAGTAACTTGCCCTAGACCACAGAGCTCAGGTTTGTTTGGTTTCATGTAGTCATAGAAGTGGCGAGAGGGAGTGATGGGGGTGGGTGAACTAGAAGGTGGCCTCGCTGTGCTCAACCCCATGCCACTCCCACTACAGGGCTGCCTGACCCTGGCTAAGTGAGAGCTTTGGCACAGCCCTACTCACCAGCCCCCCCTCCTGCTTTGGGCTGGCAGGAACAGCATCATCTATCAACTTCGAGGTGTGGACCAAGGGAAATAAACACCAATTAACCACCCCAGCTTTCCTATTAATGAACATCGCTTCCTGACGCTGGGCTCATTTGTGGATTTCTGGCTGCAAGATGATGTGAGGCCAGGAGGCCAGGCTGAGGGCTGTTGAAGAGGTTTAGACTGATTGTGGAGACATCTGCTTGGCAGCAAGCTAAGTGGCCTGTGTAGGGGTGAGGCTGGAATTGGAAGGATGGTTCCAGGACCCGGTGGATGGGGGTACCTGTGGGTGCAGAGGCTCCCTCCACATCTGGGGTTCTGTGTAACCGTTGTGGAGCTAGGGCAGGCACTGACCTCAGCTGCTGGGACAACCCGGAGAACCATGTAGCGCAGGGGGAAGGGATGGGCGTTAGACTCTATTGGGTTTGAATCCCAGCTGCTATACTTCACGGCTGTGAGGCCTCTGGGTAAAGCTGGGCCGTTTGAGCTGGCCTCCCTCCAAGGCACTAAGGTCTTATCCAGAAGTACCTCCTAGGGGCCCTTCCTAGCCAAATCCACTTTCCTGTCTAGCCAACCTCTCACCCTTTGGTGTCCCCTCCCCAAAGATCAGCCAGGACTACCTAGGCTCCTGACCAGCCCCATTACCTCTGACCATTGTTTTAGTATCAGGTGTGTGTCTTATCCACCCAGCACACTCTACTGTGAGCTCGGCAAGGAAAGAGTCGGACCCCTGCTTCTGAGAACATTGACTACTCACAGAAGGCGGCATTCACTCAGTATGGCCCATCCTACCAACCGCATCCTAGGAGTACTACAGACATGGGGATTTTGGAAGCCAGGTGGGGGTGGAGAATGCTAGACTAGATGCTGACACTTTGCTGATTTCAAGCAAATCTCCTTCTGTCTAAGCCTCAGTTTCCCACATCACCACATCAGTAGAATAAGGGAATACACACACACACACACACACACACACACACACACACACACACACACACACACACAGGCATGGTAGAATCAGCATGAGTTTGAGGTGGATCTGGCTGCCTGGGTGGGGGCTCTGGCAAATCTGTTTGGTCAGGTGTGGGCAGCAGCAAGAGCAGGCCCACCTGGAACATGTGAACATGTGTGGTCCGAGAAAGTGCTCAGTATGGATTGTTCATGCTCGGAAGGAAGCAGTCAGGACCAGGTGAAAGCAAGATCCTTCCCTCCCCCTTCCCCCTTCCCTGCTCTGCCCACTGCACCCTCCCGCAGTCAGTGGCTTTCAGGCAGCCAGCTCCAGAGCCAACCCCGAGGACTACTTCCGCTGAGTTCTTTCCTGCCGCTGCCCAGTCCATCGCCCAGGGCCCACTTGTGTGTTCCTGACTCACTCCAGTGTCTGGGCCGACTCCCTCTGGTTGGCTCCTCAGACTGATTCAGGGTTATAGGAAATATTCTGGCTGGAAATGGGACAAAGCAGGTTGCCTGGCAGTTGGTCCAGTGTTTGATGATTAACCTAGAAGCCCCCTTCCTGCACCAAGCCCTCCCTTCTCTGTCTGCATGGCCACAGAAGGAGCTAGTAACAGACACTGTGCTAAGGCCAAGGGTGCTCTTGGGGCCTAACCTGCAGTAACAGGGTGCAGGATGCCATCCTTCCTGGAGGCCTAGGCTTCGGGAATATTAGTCCCTGTGTCCTACTGTCTTAGAAATTCTGGGTCACCTCAGGACAATTTGAAGTTCCAACACACCCCACTCTTCAAATTCAAAGCAGCAGCTTGGGGCAAGGTGTCCTTGGCATGCCCAGGCAGCCCCAGAAGACCCTGGCAGCTTTCACGAATCTGTTCCCAGGGCACCAAAGCTGGCGTTCCAATTTCGCTTAATGTAGATTTTTCTTCAGGATGCCAGGGCGCACTCCACACAAACCTTACTCCATTCTGACGTTCTTGTCCCTCCCCTAACAGCCAGAGGGCCGGTTACCATGCCTTAACTCTTTCCTGGTGGTCGAGGGTGAGGAGGCCCAAGGATGCAAGGCCTGAGGGGGGCGGGGTCTCCAACCTGCCCCAGGTAATGGCTTTGGCCCCAGCGAAGCCCCAAGAAGAGAGCAAGATCAGGTGAACCCCTGGGCCCCAAGAAGTGAAGGTCACCCAGGCAGAGGAGAAAGCCTGGCCCCCCACACAGCTCCTCCTGCCCCTCAGCAGGGACGGCAGCTGCTCCTCCTCAGTCTTGGGGCTGCTGCAGCACTTTGCCCTCCCAACCCTGCCAACGCGGGGGACTTTGGGCTTCCTTCCCCCTCCACATGGGGGCTGGGGGGTTGAAATCCCATCCAGTTCCTCCTCCAGGGTCTGGGGATGGCTGAGTTTCCACTCGGTACGGAGCTGGGATCTGAAGATGGACTCTCTTCTGCCAGTAGCCAGGGCTTCCAGCTTGTCGAGAGAAAATGGGGCAATGCCGGGCCAGACACGGACTGAGTTTAGCAGCCAGTGGCCGATCCCTATCTGAGGGGCACCTACTATGTAAGGATCCCCCACCCAGAGTCATCTCCCTCAGGACAGGGTAGGGCACTGTACAGCGGACCTAAGAGACCTCTGCAATGAGTCTGAGTCCCTGCTACTTCCTCAGTTCCTGCTGTCACTACAAGAAGCCACCACTAAAAGAAACAGCTTAAACAGCAGATTTATTCTCACAGTTCTGGAGGCTAGAAACTAAACCGTGTCCCACTGAGCTCAATCCCGTCTCAGCAGAGCCAGGCCCTGCAGGGGGTTCAGAGGGTGATCCATCTGCAGTCCTTCCCCAGCTCCTGGTTTCCTCCTCCACTTCTCACACCCATGTGGCAGCAGTCATCTCCCGCCTCCCTCCCACAGGGTACCCGGATGAGACCCCGGCCACCTAGATGATCCAGGATCCTCTCTCCTCTAGAGACCTCTGGTGATATGTCTGTGCAGACTCCTGCCACACCAGCCCAGGCCTCGAGGTTCCTGGGATGAGGACCTGGGCACACGGACCACTGTCTGTCTCTGACAACTGGGCTGCAAAATGGATCCCCATCCGTAGTGTTTCAGCGACTGGGAGGGAAGGAACCGGAGACCTTTCTTTGGGCTAAACAGGGTCCCTAACCTTATGAAGGCCTAGGCATCAGCAATGTCCCTCCTCTGCTCAGAGACACCCATGCAGTGCAGTGTGTCCTTGAAAGTCAGGGGCAGGGCTAAACTTCAGTGCTGGTGTGAGGGGCAGGGCCAGCTTGGAGACCCACAGCAGCCAGGGGGGCCTCGGCATGCCTACCCAAAGCCAGATGACGGCAATAAGTCCGTGGCTAGGAAGAAATAGGGCTCTGGGGCTTGCTGAGGCCACAGGGAGGCCACAGGAGTGGTGTCGGCTAGGACAGCACACGTGGGCCTAGAGTATGGCTACAGAGGCTGGCATTATGCAGCGGGAGCTGGGGCTGTGGTCCTGGCCCAGAGAGATGATGCAGACTGTCTGGAAGCAGCTCTGCCCTCAGCATCTAAGGGCAAGGGCAAGGTGGAATTCCGGAGTCCCCTGAGCTTTCCCTGCACCGAGAGCGGAGGACAGAGGGTGCTGGCAAAGCATGGGACCTTCCTTGCTACCTCTTCTCCATGCTCTGCATCTGCAGACTGAGGGAGGTGAAGCTGGCCAAGAGGTCTGTCACTTCATCCACCTGCAGGGAGAAACCCAGGCAGATACCGGGGGATCACCATGGAACACAGGCAGTGCCCCTCTTCAGGGCATACAAATGCTTCCCCCATCTTGGTGTTTCAGTGACTAGGATGGGGGTTCGAGACTTCTGTGTTGGGCTCAGCAGAGTCTGTCCTTGACCAGTGAAGGCCTAGGTGTCACCAACCCTTTTGACTATGGGTTCATCCTGGGCATCAGGTAGTCTGGGACTGCCCCCCCACCCCCACCCCGAGAGCAGGGACATGAGCACACACCAGCCACCACAGCTTCCAGGAAGTGGACAGAAGCTGTGAGGGCCACGGTGGTGGTGACACCCCAGGTCCTGTGGCTACAGCTCACCTGCTCTTTGGTACTTGTCATCTGGAGACGGGTACAGAGGTCATCCAGCCGTTCCCGCTGTTCATGCCGCCCCAGGCGCTCCAGGTACTCCCGTAGCATGTGGATGATCTGGAAGGAGATGGCGAGTTGAGCCGCTGGCTAGAAGGCAGGCACAGGCCCAACTTGCCACCATTAGCATAATGGAGCTGGGATGTTGGGGGTCAGTGAGATCAGGAGCCCTAAGCCAGAGGCAGGAGGTCTGGTGAGCATGGTACCCATCCAGGTAGAAATCGCTCACCTGCTTCACCTCCAGCCGGACGGCCTCCAGGCACTGGGAATGGCCCTCCTGTAGGATGTTCAGCTTTGACTTGGCCAGGTGTAGGGGCGTGCGGCCAGCTCTGTCTAGGGCATCCACACGGGCCCCTGTGGGAACAGGCAGATGGAAGCATGCTGGGGATGAGACTAAGAGAAAGGCGGGAAGAGGGGACGGGGCCACATACCTCCTCGAAGCAGTGTGGTGATGACAGGCACATGGTTGGTGCACGCCGCTGCGAAACAAGAGAGACTGAAGAATCACGAGTGTGGAGAACAGGGAAGAGAAGCTGTGTCTGGGTGTGCCTGGGCCACATTACTCCTGAGACAGTATCACCAAGGCAGTGTGCCCTATTGGGCAGGACTCAGGTCAAGTCCCATTTTCTCCCTGTACAGCTGGGGAAACTGAGGCCCAGAGATAGGACTCACTATAATCGATGGTGTGAGTCAACAGCAAGGCTGTGACAGCCAAAGAGCTCACAACCCACTTCCTAGCAGAGGAGCTGCAGGCAGTCCAGGCTGCCAAGTGCACAGCCAACTGTGAATGGCTGGTCTGTGGGACACAGGCTGTAGGGAACGCACACTTGTGTTTCAGGCCCTGCCAGGATGCTAGGAGATACTTCCGGGAGTCTGCAGAACCCTAGGCTTTACGTCTCCGAAGTCCACCTGGCAGTGGCTTTCGAGGACTTACCCAGGTGCAGTGGTGTGTTGCCCAAGCCATCCTGTTGGTTGGGGTCAGCCCCATGGTCCAGGAGAAGCCGCACTGAAGACAGAAAGAGCCACGATGTACTGTTAGAGGTCCAGCAACTGAACCTCGCCCTGGAGTGCAGAGTGCGGGATCCAGACACGGTTCCCCATGCTGCTGCATGCACTCAATTACTTATGTGATCTACAGGGTTTATGTGTAGGACCCCAAGGGTCCGGAACCAAGGACTCAGGGAGACTCTCTTGGCCTCTCGGTCCTATCCGACAGAGGGAAGTACCCGGGAAGGCTCCTGAAGATATTTCCTATTCCCTCTACAGCAGCACGCTGCACTGAGTGAGGCCATAGATGACGCTGTGCTCCATGAACAGTCTCCCCTCTTCAGCAGCCCTGGGCCACCTCATGTTGCCAGGGCTTGCCAATCATCCAGCTGGAATCACTGGAGGGCCAGGCTGAGTCTCATAAAAGAACACAAGCTAATTCCAGAGGGATTGGTCATAGATGAAATGTGAACAGTAACACTGTCACATCTCTAGAAGGAAACAGGAGACTATCTTTGTGGGGAAGGTGAAGATTTCGTGAAGAGTTACACACAGAAAAACCCACCAACCATAGGAAAGGAGCAACCAGCGCACTGTAGCTGGGCCTGGTGGCTTAGGTCTGTGATTCTAGCTACCCAGGGGTCTGGGGCTGGAGGCTCTCAGGTTCAAGGCCTACCTGGTTTGTAGCATGAGCTCAAGACCAGCCTAGACAACTTACTAAATCCGTCTCAAACCAAAAAGTAAAAAGAAGCCGGGCGGTGGTGGCGCACGCCTTTAATCCCAGCACTCGGGAGGCAGAGCCAGGCGGATCTCTGTGAGTTCGAGGCCAGCCTGGGCTACCAAGTGAGTTCCAGGACAGGCGCAAAGCTACACAGAGAAACCCTGCTCGAAAAACCAAAAAAAAAAAAAAAAAAAGTAAAAAGAGGGCTGGAATATAGCTTAGTGGTGGACCACTTGCCAACACGAGTGAAGACCTTGGGTTTGATCCCAGGACCACAAAAGGAAAAAAAAAAAGCAAGCTGGCCCAAGGTGTGGCAGTGTACACCTGTAATGCGAGCACTCGGAGACAGGAGGAGGAGGTCGGTGGTCATTCTCGGCAACACAGCAAGTCTAAGGCCAGCCTGGACCACACGGACCCTGTTACACACACACACACACACACACACACACACACACACACACACACTTCATTAACAAGCATTAACAAGCACTTCTGTTTATTAAATGACTATTCACCAAGGCATAGTGGCACACATATCTGTCATCCCAGCACTTGAGGACTCCTGTCACAAGTCTTCCTTGTCCCACAGCCCGGGTCCCCCTGAGGCATGCAGACAGCAATTCCTCCCCCATTCCACTCACTGGCCTTGACCAGTTCCTGTCGCTTCCCCGGGACTCACCAATCTGGTCATTGCCATTGCAGGAGGCAAAATGGAGGGCCGTGCGGCCCTTGTCGTCAGCGGCGCAGGGATCTGTGCCGTCTTCCAGCAGCTGCTGCACTGACCACCAAGATGGCGGAGGAGGAGAGAGAGAAAGCAGTAGCGTTAGCTATGCTACAGTCCCTAGGGATGGCCAGTGATGCTCCAGGCCCCTCCAGATGAACCATTCATAATTCACAGGAAAGTTGGTCCCTCCTAGATGCCGGCCCCACGGGGACTACTGGCCCCCAGGGGCAGCTGTTACCTTCCTGGCCGTGGATTCTGTTTAACCGATGTGTCTAGGCATCAGCTAGAACATCAGAAGAGGCTCCTGATGTTTATGGTAGGCATTACAGAGTCACAGTAATTCTGGCATAGGTCGTGGCCCCATCCTCTGTCTCTGCTAGGATACATATCCGTTCCAGCTGGACACAGCTGCCCAAGCTACTGGCTGGTACTTGGTTAAGAGGTAGCACTTGGAAGGGACCGGGGCACAAGCCCCAGGGACACACAGAGTCCCAGGCTAAGCGAAACAAGAAAGGAGTACACAGCCACCATCATGAGGCGGTGGCAGGAGCTGGGATGAGCACAGGCCTGGAGGCCTGGTCTTCACAGCATCATCAGAAATGGGCTTCATCTCTGCCCTGACATCTGCAGAGCCGCTGTGAGGGGGATAATGGATGTGCTATTGCTTCTGACAGTGCGGGGCCCTGAAAAGGGGGAGACATTATGTACTAATGACCATGTCCAGCACAAGTGGGGAAAATTGCTGCCAGTCATTTTAGAGTCTGACATTTTAGTCTCTTTTCCCCAGCAGCACCCTCAAGGATATGAGTCCTTCCAGCCAAAGTCCAAACTGCTTCCTGTCCATGCAGCTCTCCCCAGCTGAGTCAGCCTCTCTTCTCCCACAATTCTCCATTTCCTGTTCATCCTGTTCTTTAGCAGCAGGAGACTGTCCATTCTAGAATAGTGCTCACTGGACAGTGTACTCAGAATTCTGGCCAGGAGTCGGCCTGACAATAGCCATGCAAGGGGTCACAAACACTTCCCAGACCAGGACACTTCAGCCCAGTGACACATAAGGCTCAGAGGCCACAGTGACCCAGGTGACAAGAGGCAAAGCAGGCCGCAAACCTGCTGTGATTTGTATTCCTGCCTGGATTTGTTTTGGTTTTCAGTTCTTGGAGACAGGGTTTCAGTGTCTATAGCCCTAGCTGTCCAGGAACTCACTCTGTAGACGAGGTAGCCTCGAACTCACAGAGATCCACCTGCCTCTGCCTCCTGAGTGCTGGGATTAAAGCCGTGGGCCACCACTGCCCAGCTCCATCTGGGTTTTGAACTGGCGTCACTTTATACTCTTCCTCCTCAGCTATGTTACAAGTTTTAGTCATTGGTATGAAGCATAGTGTCCCTTAAGTGCGCAGTTAGTGTTCCTGGCTGTCTGTCTGGCTGTCATGTCACACTCCTGCAACCATAGCACTCTGGAGACAGGAGATTCACAAGTTCAAGACCAAACTGAAAGACATCAGCCCTAACCCTATTCTCTTGCCACACCCTAGAGAGTTTTTTTTTTAAAGTGCCTGGGTGTGCAGGAAGGCTCAGTAGGTCAAGGCACCAACCCTGATGCCCTGAGTTCAATCACAGAAACCCACAAGGTGGAAGGAGGGAACAAGTACCCCTAAGTTGTACTCTGACATCTACAAGCACACACATGCTCCTCCAAATAATAACGTTAAAAAATAATGTCTATTATCTTCCATTGCAAAACTTTCTAAGTTGATGCTCAAATATCCTCAAACATTTAATTTCATGGAAAACAGACCAAAGTGAGAAGTGGACAGACCTTCCAGGTTCTGGGCCTACTGACTACTGCTGAGCCAAAGGCAAGGGAACCCATCTGGAAGCAGGTCCCTGAGGTAACTGTCCCTCTCCCATGCCTGCTGTAAGGGGGCTCCTATAACCATGGCCCTTCATCAGTGTTCACATCTCACCTGTTTCTCACAGCATCCCACCACCAAAGCAGAATGCCGTACTCTGGAAGTACGTAGAATAATGGCCCTCAAATTTTGTGGCTATGTTACCTTCAAGGCAAAAGTAATTTTTATAGATCTGCCTAAGGCTAAAGACTCAAGATAAGAAGACAATGCTGGATTATCCAGGCCCAATGGAAATGAATGAATCCTTAAAACCAGAGGACCTTTTCCTTTTTTCTTTTTCTTTTTTTTTTTTTCCTTTGGTTTTTCAAGACAGGGTTTCTCTGTAGCTTTGGAGCCTGTCCTGGATCTCACTCTGTAGACCAGGCTGTCCTCAAACTCACACAGATCCACCTGCCTCTGCCTCCCAAGTGCTGGGATTAAAGGCGTACACCACCACAGCCCGGCTAGAGGACCTTTTCTTACTTCAAAAACTAGAGATGGCAAGATAGGACTCAGCCCACTGTTGCGGGCTTTGTAGGTAAGAAACATGGCAACTTGGGAACTGCCAAACAAAGAGAAACAGATTCTTCCCATGACCCTCCGGAAAGAAATGCAGTCTGGAAGACACCTGGAGTTTTAGCCTGGCCAGGAAACCTGGGTTGGATGTGTGACCTACAGAACTGTCCATGATACTTGTGTTGTTGAAAACTGACTGTGGGTCATTTGTTGAGGCTGCTTGGATGGTGAATCCTAACTTGATCAGAGAAGTAACCAGGAGATCACATGTCAGTGTGAACCTATGAGGGCACTCTCAAGAGAAGATTCAGGAAGGAGGGAATTCCCACCCTGAGCGTGGGCAGCACCATTCCATATGCTGCGGGTCCAGAAGGACAGGACAGGGAAAAGGAGGGAGCCTGAGAGCACACGCATGCTCTCTCTGCTTCCTGACACAGTGACACTGACCTCTCCTCTGTCACGCCCACCCCACAGCAATGGCCAATGCAAATTTGCTTTGTTTTTCTTTTTCATTAATTTATCTTTTTTGTTTGTTGCGTATGTAGGGTATATGTTCAAGGTGTGTGTAAGTGCATGTGCCTATGTGTCTGCATGCAGGGACCAGAAGAGGGCATCAGGGGCCTTCTGTCACTCGCCACCGTATTTTATGACACAAGGTCTCAGTGAACCTGAAGCTTCCTGCTTCAGTTTGGATGGCTGGCCACCAAGTTCCTAGGATCCACCTGTCTCCAACCCCCTGATGCTGGGGTTACAGACACATGGAGCCATGCCTGATTTTCTCACACGGGTCCTGGGGATTTGAACTCAGGTCCTCTTGTTTTTACAGCAAATGCTCTTTTGCCACGGAGCCAAGCCTATTATTTTCCTCTTCCTCTGTCCCCCAGGCTGTTTTAGAACTTGCTGTGTAGACCAGACTGGCCTTAATTCGTCATCCACCTACCCCTGCCTCCTGAGGGCTGGGATTAAGGGCATCCCCCACCACACTGAGGTGTGAATGGAGTAAATGATCTGAGAACTAAAAGATCTGAAATCATGAGCCAAAATCAATCTCCTTCCTTGTCACCGTGACAGTCTGACAATACAGCAGCCATAGTAAACCGACACAGCCTTCCCCCACACCCTACCCCCACCCCCAAGACATGGCAGGTATCAGCAGCAATAGCAGTAGTGGTAGTAGTAGTACTATTGGTCCTAGAAGCTGTCCTTGTACCTCTGATGCTCTACCTCAGTTAGGGAATGCCCAGAAGCAGCAACAGAAAGACAGTTGCAGTGTCCTACAGGGAGCCCCACCCATGCTTGTCAGACGCCCTGTCAGTAACAGGTCTGAGGACCAGTTACTGGACAGCCAGGAGTGCCAGATGATCACCCGGCAGTCAAGGCGGAGTGTTCACTCCTGGGAGCCAAAAGTTCCAAAGTGGGCACTTGCTCTTTGCTGAGGGCTTTGCTGAATCCAGGGGGGATAAAAACAAAGAAAACAGGCATGGTCCCTAGCATCAGGATGCACACAGGGTGATGAGCACTGGGACACCAGAGACGCTGGGTAACAGAGGAGCCTGGTGGGGAGTACCCACACCTTACTTCTGTTTTGCACAGTGACTTCAGAGTCAGGGAGTAAATACAGCGAGCATGCTCCAAGGAATGAGGGTGAGCTGGCAGACTGCTCGGGTATGGAGTACTTGGCTTTTTCCTTCCCCATCAGTCCTTAGGTCCCACTGTGCACACTCACCTGTTTCTACATCATTGGCATTGGCCGAGTCCCTCAGCCTCTTCAGAGCTACAAAGACAGAAGAAACAAGTTAAGAAAAAAAAAAAAAGGACCAGAAGAGAACAGAAGGCGCACGCTTCACAGCTCTCCCTGGTAGTCCACCCTTCGGTCACAGCAGCACAGAAAGGCAAAGGTGCTGGGGTAGAAACCACCAGACTGGGAACAAGGAGAACCTGGAACTGGGCCACAGTTGGAGGGGAGACCAGTTTCTGTAACAAAGCTGACTTCTGGAGCCAGATCTAATTTCTGCCACTTGTGGTAGCTGGCAACCTTGAGCAAGCCAGTTTCTTACCCTGGGCATTGGCCCATCATCTATAAAGCAAGGCTAAGCTGTTCTGCCAGCTCTTAAGTTGTTACAAAGAAAACTGAGATAATCTGTTTTTTTTTTTGGTTTTTCGAGACAGAGTTTCTCTGTGTAGCTTTGCGCCTTTCCTGGATCTCGAGCTGTAGCCCAGGCTGGCCTCGAACTCACAGAGATCCGCCTGCCTCTGCCTCCCGAGTGCTGGGATTAAAGGCGTGCGCCACCACCGCCCGGCAGAGATAATCTTTTCTTAAAGAGAAAGAATGAGAGGGCTTATTTAGTCCTTTGTGAGCTAATTGCACTCCACCTTTTATTGTTCTACTCCTTCCTAAATGGATTACCAAACTTGCTAATTCCTAAGCAGAAACATCCCTCTTTTCACTGACATTGCCTCTACTTTAGAACTAACAGAAACTACCTTTGCTGTCAGAGAATGGTCCGAAAAAACTGCAGACTAGCTGTAACAATTGCATCCATCCATATGCCACTTTTTTGTTTCTATAGCACTTTGAAATTCTCTTTTAACCTTCTCTGAGACAGGGTTTCTCTGTGTAGCCCTGGCTGTCCTCGAACTCACTCTGTAGACCAGGCTGGCCTCAAATTCAGAGATCTGCCTGCCTTTGCCTTCTGAGTGCTGGGACTAAAGGCGTGCACTACCATTGCCCGGCCCTCTTTTGATCTTTATAACACTAACACACACATCAGGTCAAATGGTGGTAGTCTGAAAAGGGACCTTAAAACTTTCATTCTTAATCCTCCTGCACCCCATTTTCCTTTACACCCACAAACGGTAGAAAACAATATATCAGACATACGAGGGCAGTCTGGCTGACCTGGGTTGGAATACTGGTACAGTCTTTTTTCTATGTGACTTGAAATCAGAATGTCCAAGTGGTAATAACTGGACTTGATATCGATAATATGTAGGAGTTAGGGATGCTGAAAAGGATTAGTGGGGAAAGATGCTTGCTTCAAAACCTGACCTGAGTGCAATCGCCAGGATTCACACTGTGGACCTAGAACTTGCTACTTCGACCAAGCTAGCCTTGAACTCACAGACATCTTCCTGCCTCTGCCTCCTGAGGATTACAGGTGTGCACTACAGCACCTGGCTGATTTTCTTGTTTACAGTAAATTCTGTACAGGTCATCATTTCCCATGGGTCACAATATATCTCCGAAAGGATTATAAAAGGTTGTATTTCAAACAAGTGTTTGGCCCATCACAAAGGTAGACTACACGTTCAGAACCTTCCCTAACTGATAACACCCCAGTAAAGTTGGCAGTGTACCCATTCTACAAATAGGAAACCGAGGCCACAAGTGTCTGTAGGTTGTGTAAGGGCCACGTGTGGAGCAGTCTGATTCAGATCTGTGCATCCACACAAGTTGGTATAGCGTGGCCACAGGCTCTGGGCTCCCTTCTCTAATAATGAAAATATTCTCCACTGTCCCACATTATTGTCTACTTACAACCACCCCCGAGAGTGGAAAGTTTTCATTCGGTGATGTCCAAGTGGCCAAAGCCACGGTCCTCGGCAGCTCTAACTACTGCGATCACTCACAAGCGACCCCAGGATCCCTAGCTGAGCTCACCGTGCACCTCCTTGCCCGTGGGCCCGAGCCGGCGGTGGGGCCTGGCGGCGCGCCTCAGCCGCCCGGTGGGGATCTTGCAGCGCAGTTCGTCGCGGGGCTCGGCGTCCTGCTGCCACAGGACCTGGAGGTAGCGCAGCGGGGACTGGGCCCTGCCGGCTGCCCGGCCCGGGAGGCCTGCGCCGCCGCCCAGCGCAGCGCCTAGGTCTGCGAAGGAGAACAGGCCTCCGGCTTCCGCCAGCGGCTCCGGCGCCACAGCGCACTCGCCGTCGGAGCTCGAGCGACCGGATCGGGACTCGTCATCCGCGCCCCCGCCGGTGGCTGCCATGGCAACGGCTAGGCGCGGGCCAAACCGCGCCAGCCTCGTTCCAGACCGACCAACGGACCCGCTTCCCTCCTGGAGAAGCCTCGCTGTCAGCGAGCGGGAGGGCGGGGCCTGCAACCACGGCAACAGAGTGCGGGCAGGCCGGGCCGCGTAGAGCGTCGGACCAATCAGAGATCGCCGACCCTGCTCAACACAGCCAATCAGGCAAGGAAAGCAGAGTACAAGAAGAACACTGGTTTCCGGTAGTGTGACTGGCGGGCACGTAAGCCAATCACAAATTAGAGTTGCTACGCACTTAGCGGTTGCTACCGGAGCCAATAAAACAGCTGAGTTCAGGCCACTTTCCCCCATCCTCTTCTTCCAGTTCTTCCTGTCGTAGCTCCGGAAAGACGACTGGCAAATGCTTTAGCCAATCATGGTAAATGCTCTTCAGCCAATCGGAAAGGAAAGTGAAGAAACCAAACTACTCTGATGTAGGTGTGTTTTGAATCAATGAACATACACACAAAAAGAGAGATTTCCCACAAAACGAACAATGATTTGTAGATATCACCACGAAGCAGGCGGTAATATCTTCTAACGTAATAGAATTTCGTCAACGAATTTCGTCAGGGTTCTCTTGTCCCCCGCAGGGATCATTGCTTTAACAAAGAATTTTAATTCAATGTGACCTTTAATTCGGGGTAAACCCTACAGTAGGCAGAGCTATTGCTCAGTCTTGAAAGTCCTATCTACAGGCTTTTGATGCTTTCTGTGAGGCCCTGCGAGAGACCAGGCAAAGTCACTTGAGCTGTGACTATGATACAAGTCTCCCTTTCTGGGTGTGTGAGACCTGCCCGCCTCCCAAGCAGCTCCGCCTATCCACAGGTACTACAGAACACTCCTTAGACAATGGTGACGGTCCTCCCTGCCTTCAGGTGAAGCCATGCACTCCTGAGTTTTATCGGGCACATTACCAACTGGCCTATAGGCTGCAGTCTCAGCCTCTTGGCCTGGCACTGCTGTTGAGTAATGTACACTTCACTGGAGAGAAAGACCTGGAATTTCGCTCTGGAGGGGAAGTGGACCACAATACTCTAGTCACCCTCTTCAAGCTTTTGGGCTATAATGTCCATGCTCTACATGATCAGACTGCACAGGAAATGCAAGAGAAACTTCAGAACTTTGCACAGTGACACACCGGGTCACAGACTCCCGCATAGTGGCACACCTCTCACATGGTGTGGAAGGTGGCATCTACGGTGTGGATGGCAAACTGCTTCAGCTCCAAGAGGTTTTTCGACTTTTTGACAGTGCTAACTGTCCAAGCCTACAGAACAAGCCGAACATGTTCTTCATCCAAGCATGCCCTGGAGAGGAGACGGATGGAGGGGTCGACCAGCAAGATGGAAAGTACCACCCACAATCCCCTGGATGTGAGGAGAGTGATGCTGGCAGAGAGGAATTAATGAAGATGAGACTACCTACTTGCTCGGACATGATATGTGGCTATGCTTGCCTAAAAGGCACTGCTGCCGTGCGGAACACCGAATGGGGTTCCTGGTACATTGAAGCACTCACTCGGGGTTTCTCCGAAAGAGCTTGTGACATGCACGTGGCTGACATGCTGGTTAAGGTGAATGCCCTTATCAAGGAGCGTGAAGGCTACGCCCCTGGCACAGAATTCCACCGATGCAAAGAGATGTCTGAGTACTGTAGTAGGACTCTGTGTCGGCAGCTCTACCTGTTCCCAGGTCACCCACCCACGTGATGCCACCTGCTGTTCATGCCCTTGGAGGCCACTGGACCGCTGGGGGCACAATGGAGCCTTCTCTTGAGGATGGTTTTTTGTTCTGTCTACCCCCTCAGGGATAAGAGACTCTACCAGGCTTGTTTGCTGTCGGCCGTCTCCATCTTTGGGTATGAGACTTAAGGACAGCTCTCCCCGTGTGGTGCTCTCTCCCTGTAGAACCAGCTCTGAATGGATTTGTTGCCAGAAGCATTTTGGCTACAGCCCAAGAGCCTGGAAAATGACATTATGAACACATTATTGTTGTGGGGAGAGAGCATGTGGATTTCTCAATGTTTCATATTTCTGTTCCAGGGCTCTTAGGGATACTTTGGTCATTGCTTTTTTTTTTTTTTAAACATCATTTAAGGTATCTCAGAGATCATCTCCTATCTTTTTTTCATATCTACAACCTCATTTTTCCCCACAGTGAAGATTTGGAAGATGTCCCAATTTAATGCGGGTGTGTTCAACTATCTTGATGAGGCAGAGAGACTTAGACCCTGCTACTGTGAGCAGACGTTCCTGTGCATGCTTTTGAGCGTAGGCCTGAGGTGAAGGGCCATCTCCTCAGCTTCACCCTGGGCTCCTTTGTGCTCTGTGCACCCAGCCTTTGGCCAGAGCCTCAGGTCTGTATGCTGTGACACTGGAAGTTGTGGACAGCTCCCTGGTCATGCTTTCTTTGAATTGTCACCGAAATGAACCTTGTAGGCATTTCAATATAGGCACTCGGTGACAGGTAAATGTGCTGTGTCTCACACTGTCACCTGTCACCAGAATGTCTCCTTCCTTACTGTGATTTCTGATGTGCAGTTAAACTGAACTTCACAGCCGGCCTCCAGGAAATTTCTTGCTTTGCACTGATTCCCCTCTTCATTTTCCTCCCATTCACTGTCTCTGCCAAGTCTGTGAAGTCCTCCTTTGCAGGATCTTCTGGCCACTGAAGGTGTGGCTGTATCTTGTTCCTGCCATCTGCTTGAGCATACGGTTCCTTCAGTTTTAGGAGGCATTATCCCATCTCGCTGTCTGTGTGTTAGTGAGGATAGTTGCATACATGATAGGCCACTAACCTAGAAGCACTTGTCTCTGCTTTTATGAACCTTTTTTATTCTTTAAAACCTTTTGCATTTCCATTTTTGCTTCTCTCCCAGTTTATTCTCCACATAACGGTAGTTTTGGTTTTTAAAATGTCTGATGATGTCACTGTCTTGCTTAGAACACTAGCTTCCTGTTACACCTCATCTAAAATTCAAATCCTTACCCCACTTTATGAGATCTGGCTCTCACCTTCCCTTTGGATCTCAGTAAATGGAGATTTCACACTGTGCTCTGGCCCCTCTCAGTTCCTCCTTCACTGCTGCAGGTGTTTTGAGCGCTTCTTTAGGATAGTGTCTGATTCTCGAGTCTCCAGTAGACCTCTGGTCCATGCTGTCCACGAGCAGTCTTCTGTACCTCTTCTGAGGGCATCCTGGTGGCCCTTCATTGTGCTTACTGCGGTTTGTAGAGGCACACTTGCATGTTTTGCTTGTTGATACTGTTGGTTAAACAGCACACTGCTTGTGGCTGGCCGCCGCCCGCAGTGACCATGCCGGCGGAGGAGAGTGAGAGGGCCCACCACTTTTTAGGCTGGGATGCTGTCGCAGGCTGATGACGTAATTAAGGACAGACTCCTTACATCCCAGATTTTTGCTTATTATAAAAAAGCAGGTAGATGGGAATAGGGGCGTTGTTCCTCTCAAAAACTGCTTCCAGCTGACTATTGGATGTCGGTTGGCTCTTGGGGGAGTCTTCTGAGGTAGACAGGTGTTGTGGGATGCTGTCTGTCATCCGTTTGCTCTGGAGACATGTATCCTTCTTGGCTGTGGCTGGGAACTTTCTGTTTGACAAAATGCTGGTGACACAGAAAAAACTTAGAGAGATAAAAGAATCATTATTATTTTATGTTGACATTTATCTGAGGTAGATCCGGCCTGTCCCTATGGATTTTGAAACATGTTAAGCTTTATCAGAGACAGATTATTTTAAAGCACCTGTTTTCTTTATTAGTTTGGCATCCAGGAGACAGGTGATCAATTGTTAAAAGCATCTCACAGTAATAGATGTTTATATTAAAGTCTTTTTATAGCGCCCAGACGCTTTTGGGTCTGGGGTGTAAATACCTTTAGCTGTTACAGTTTCTTACTTGATGATCTCTGGACTCTGGTTCTGTGGTGGTCCTGTATCATTGACTGAACAGTGCATGAAAATTTATTTTTTTGGAATTAGGGACAAGGCAAAGATCAGGGCCCCGTCTGTATGCACGTGAGAAACACAGGCAGTGGATCTGGAGTGAAGCAATGAGCTCTTATTTTACGTGGAAATCTTTTTTCTTTAAGTAACTCTGAAAGTGCAATTAAATCTGGTGAGGTGGTAAGGCTGTCCTCTGTACCTGATAATAAAGGAGAGGTGATATCCCAAAACTCCCAGGACTGAGTCAGTGGCTCTGGTGTCCAGAAGGAAAGAAACAGATCGATTCCCTGCTGCGTTCTGGGTTCCCTGCCATGGCTGTAGCCAAGCCTAGGTCTGCTGGAGGTCTTAGCTTGATGTACCCATGCATCTTAGCACCTGGGGGCAGTCAGCTGACTCTTTGTCTTTCTAGGCGGCACTTTTAACAAGACTGTTGATGGCCTGGCAGGGCATTCGCTAGCCCGTGGCCTTTTCTTCACTTAAAACAGGGACCCAACAGCTTTTGGAAGTTAGCAAGTGCCAGCACTTGGCAATTTTGTTTTCGGGCTTTTATCTCTTCCCTGGCACACCTTAAATGTCACAGATGACTCTCTTGCCTGTGGGGTCAGGAGCCTTGCTCTCCAGATGCTTAAGTTTTAGTCGGGGAGGTGTGGGAAACAGGAGATGGATTTTACTCTGTGTCCTGAATTTTTTTCCTGATGATTGGTGGCTTAAGGACAGCTTTTGGAAGATCTGCCAGGAGGCAGACTATAAACTGATCCTTTTGGAAGACTTGTCTGAGGCTATAAGCTGATTTTTGGCTTAAGAGCCATTTTGACTACTGTAAACTTATTTGTATGGATCTTAGCCGCTTCCAGACCTGTCTGTGTTTCTCAAGGCAGTTTGAGAACGAGTGGGTGGAGTTAAGGTGAGTTAGGGCGAGACGTAGAAACCGCCCAAGCCCGCCCATTTGAGCCCGCCCACTGCCGGTGGAAGTCAGACAGAAAAGGTTGCACATGGCAGATGCAGAGGTGGGGAGGGAGAAGGGTTTAGAGCTTCAGCAGAAAGCTTGGAGATAAAGTAACTCTTATTTGCCCGTTCGCTGGCAGAAGTTCCCGCGATGCTGTTATGCGGCCAGGTTTACCAGTGCCCACCCCTATCCGCCAATGTAGGTGGCAAATGTATCCGTCCCTTTGTCCCATGGCTGTAGCCAAGAGAAAAATAAAAAATTGAAATAACAAACCAGGATCAGACTACAATCTCGGGCGTCCCTGTGGAGAGAGATCTATGAATCAGCTCAAGTCACCGTTCCTCTTCGTCAAGGGAAGGTGAGGGCTTTGGATGCACTGCAGTTGGTCCACCCTTGAACCCTAGACACCATTGACCCCCTCGTCAGGATCAAAAAATGTGCCTGTCATTGCCAGTACAGCCCGAGGACAACCCCCGGGGTGTCCGTCGCAAAGAATATAGCTCAGACTACAGCGTGAGAACGGCTGACTCACTGTGGTGACGGCAGCAGTAGCAGTGTGGGGGTCCAGCGGCAGATGGCAGCGGTCACAGCAGGTCCTCGGTGCTCGGTGGTGTATCCGAGTTACGGCACCAATGTTGGTTAACAGCCCACTGCTCGTGGCTGGCGGAGGAGAGTGAGAGGGCCCACCTGCTTTTTAGGCTGGGACGCCGTCGCAGGCTGATGACATAATTAAGGACAGAATCCTTACAGATACCTTCCCTACTAAACTGAAAGCTCTCAGAGAGAAGAAATCATGTTTCTTACTTGCTGTATACCCAGTACCTGGAACTTACTAGGTCGTCAATGAATGTTTCTTGAATAAAGGAAGGAGGCAAGCCGCTAACTCTAGTTAAATCCTGCCTTTAACAATTTCTAAATTGCTATTATAGTATGCAGTTTAATTAGTATTTGTACTCTTCTGGTTTTTTTCAGGTGTTCTATTTTTATCCACTGATTTATTGTTTGTTTTTAAACCATCTGAAGACATATCACGTGTGAGACAACTTCCTTCACATCTCCATGGTGTCCAGCATATTTGAGGCCTATGATAGTTGAGGTGCTCAATTATTATTTGTTGTATGAATCAAGTGGTTTGAAGACTTGCTGCCAAATTCTGCTTTTGGGTCAGTATAGGATGCATATATTTGTGTGATAGAATCTTCACACTTCCCACTGCCAAGATTTGTATTGCCATCAGGTGCCAAATAAATGTTGATACTTATTTAAAAAAAGAAAAAAGAAAGAAAAGAAAAGAAAAAGAAAGTCCTATCTAACACTGGCCTGAACCTGACCCAAGGGAGCTGCTAGTACACACGCATTTGCACATACATGCACGCGCGCACGTCATTTGCATTTGGTCAATTCGTAAATAAAATAAAAAACACTTGTAAGACCAGGTAAATAACTACCTGTAGTCTTGCCTTGTGGGACTCCAAGGACTTGGGTTCTAGTCCCGATCTACCCTAAGTTTGTAATTTGGGGGCAACTTCTTGGAGCCCGTCTTCCCGCCAGGAGTTTTTCTAGGTAGAATATGAATACCAGCCCAGGCCAGATCCAACAAGTTGCCATTCTTTTCCATCTTTCTTCGCCTCGACCGCTTGGCCTTTACAGTATATTAGAGAAATGTGAACTGGTTGTCCACATTTAAACTTTGAGAGCTGGGGGCTGGAGAGATGTCTCAGTGTTTAAGAGCAAGCACGGACTACTCTTCCAGAGGACCCGGGTTCAATTCCCAGCACCCACATGGCAGCTCACAACTGTCTATAACTCCAGTTTGACACCCATGTCAAAACACCAATGTACAAAAAATGGAAATAAGTAACATTTTAAAAATTGACAGCTGATGGGGCTGGAGAGATGGCTCAGTGGGCAAGAGCACTGGCTGTTCTTCCAGAGGACCTGGATTTGATTCCCAGTACCCCTGTGGCAGCTCACAACTGTCTGTAACTCCAGTTCCAGAGGATCTGGTACCCTCACACAGACATACTTGTAGGCAAAACACCAATGCACATAAAAACAAGTAAACCTTAAAAAAACAAATTTAAAAAAACTGACAGCTGAGCCAGCAAGATGGACAGTGTTCTCAACCCGGGGGGATCTTGAACAACCCTGTCACAAAAGTAGCCTAAGACCATCTGCATATCAGATATTTACATCATGATTCATAACAGTAGCAGAATTACCGTTAGGAAGCAGCAACGAAAATCACTTCATGGTTGGGGTCCCCATACATGAGGAACTGTGTTAAAGGGTCACAGCCTTAGGAAGGTTGAGGACCGCTGGTGGGACAGAACTCTTGTTGCCACAGACTGACTACCCGAGTTTGATTCCAGATCTTGGGGGAAGTTCTGCCTTAGCTTCCACACTCACTCCATGGCATGGGTGCACCCACAGTCTGTCTCCCTCTTTCTCTCTCTTCCCCTCCCTCCTCCTCTCCCTCCCTTACCCTTGCTCACACACAAATATTAACAAAATTTTAAAATAACACTTGGCAGCTTTCAAATAACAGTTTTATTCACATTCTCCTAAAAACGGGAAGATATTTCAATACATAACATGATGTCCCCACTATTACTATTGTACGTTGTTATTTCAGGCTTATTATGCAGCCTGAGATGACCTTGAACTTCGCTTCTTGACTAGAACTAAGATGACAAGCACACATCACCCTGATGTGGTTTTTTTTTTTTAATTTTAATTTTTTTTTGTTTTTTTGTTTTGTTTTTTTTCGAGACAGGGTTTCTCTGTGTAGCCTTGCGCCTTTCCTGGATCTCGCTCTGTAGACCAGGCTGGCCTCAAACTCACAAAGATCCACCCTGATGTGTTTATGTGTTGCTGGGCAGCAAACCCAGTGCTTTGTGCATGGTAGCCAAGCACCCTGCCTGCTGAGTTACATACAACTCAGCTCCTGCTCTCCTTTCCCCTTCTTCTTCCTCTTCTTCCTCTTCTTCTTCTAAGAATTATTTATTACTTATACAGTGTTCTGCCTGCATGTGTCCCTGCAGGCCAGAAGAGGGCACCAGATCTCATTATAGATGGTTGTGAGCCACCATGTGGTTGCTGGGAATTGAACTCAGGATCTCTGGAAGAACAGCCATTGCTCTTAACCTCTGAGCCATCTCTCCAGGCCCTTCTTTCCCCTTCTATACATAGGATTCCATAGTCTCCCCACCCTTGTTGCCTTCCAATGGAGGCTGAAAGGCAATTGCCACTTTCTGTCATTTTTAGGGAAGACTCCGCACCCCCCACCACAGGGTTTCTCTGTATAACCCTGGCTGTCCTTGATCATGCTCTGTAGACCAGGTTGGCGATGAACTCAGAGATCCCCCCTGCCTCTACCCCACAAGTGCTGGGATTAAAGGCTTTCACCACCATTTGACCGGCAGAAAGCCTATTCTTAAAATGAGTTAGCAAGAAGTGAAAATGTTGCTTTTTTTTCACAAAAGTGGCATAATGAGGCAGGACACGGTGGCACACACCTTTAACCCGAGGACTCAGGAGGCAGAAGAAGGTAGATCTTTATGAGTTTGAGGCTAGCCTGGTCTATATTGTGAACTCCCGGCCAACCAGAGCTAGAAAGTGAGATCCTGTTTCAATAAAATAAATCTTAACACACACACACACACACACACACACACACACACACACACACACACACATTTGTTTTTCCAGACAAGGTTTCTCTGACTCTTGCTTTCTGCCTCTTCTTTAACTAGATCCCTGAGCCCTGAGGGGAGGGGTCTGATGAAGACATCTCCTTTAGCAGTGAGTGCTCCAAAGTCTCTCGCTTTCTGCACATTGTCCTGTTGTGGGCCTTTGTGTTAGTTCCCATCTGCTGCAAGAAGCAGCTTCCCTGATGATGACTGAATAAGGCACTGATCTCTGAGGGTTTTGTTTGACATCCTCACATTTTCATTTCTAGTTTTATTGCAGTTTGAGTTTTCTTTAGTGATTCTATTTCTACTTTCATGTCTTTAGTTGTTTTCATTATTTCATTCAATTGTTTCTTTGTGTTTTCATTGTCTTCACTAAGGGATTCATTCATATCCTCCTTAAGGTCCTCGAACACATTTATATTCGCTGCTTTGAAGTCCTTATCTTGTGCTTCAACTCTATTGCATTTTCTTCTTTTTTTCTTCCTTCCTTCCTTCTTCCTTTCTTTCTTTTTTCTTTTTTTGTTTTTTGAGACAGGGTTTCTCTGACCATCCCGGAACTCATTTTGTAGACAAGGCTGGCCCCAAACTCAAGATCTGCCTGCCTTTGCCTCCTGAATGCTGGGATTAAGGGCTTCTGCCACCATCACCTGGATTTTTTTTTTAAAGCAAAGCTCTGGGCTGGAGAGATGGCTTAAAAGTTAAGAGCACTTGCTACTCTTCCAGTTCCAGGGGATCTGACGCCCTCTTCTGACCTCCAATGGCACTGCATGCGTGTGGTGCACATACATACACACAGGCAAAACCCTTATACACATACAATAAGATGAATAAATCTAAAAAAGAAATGGAGCAAAGAAAAACAAAACAATAGCCAGACAAATAAGTAGATTGTTTATTTGTGGCCAAGAACAATATAGTCTTCAAAGTCTATGGTGAAAGGAAAAGATAGAATTTAAGAAGCAATAAGGAAACAGCCTGCCCCTTCATTGGCCTTTTTTTATTTTTATTTATTTTTATTTTATTTTATTTTTTTTTTTTTTTGGTTTTTCGAGACAGGGTTTCTCTGAGTAGCTTTGCGCCTTTCCTGGAACTCACTTGGTAGCCCAGGCTGGCCTCGAACTCACAGAGATCCGCCTGGCTCTGCCTCCCGAGTGCTGGGATTAAAGGCGTGCGCCGCCACCACCCGGCTGGCCTTTTTATTATATAGTGTGCCTCAGTTTAGATTTTGCTTGATGAAGCCTATACTGGAGGATCCACAATGATGCTTCTGGCTCTGACTGGCAAAGTGCAAGTGCAGGATGGGGTGGGTAGGGCTTCTGAGATAGTGATCTGGGCAGTGAAGCAAACAGAACAGGAGGTGAACTACAAACAAACCTCATGGCTGTGAAAAAAGGAGCTTCAAACACATCCGTCTGCAAAGCCTAGATAGGCCGGGATATAACTAAGCCAGAGAATTTCCTACCTCAAACCCCAGGCAAAAGATCAAGAGAAAAAAAGCAGGATTTCAGCTGCTGAGTCCCCTGTTCCAGGAGCCCGAGGCTGCTCTGTTCCTTCTCCTTTGAAGTCCTGCTTTTCCATTTACAAAGGAGCCTTGCAAAAATCAACCCCCCTGTGATGAAAGATCGCATAGTCTGTGAAGGGCTTTCATCTGCTCACCAGAGCTGTGTTTCTAAGTCGAGTTAATGTGCCGTCAGGCAACGGACCTAGTCTAGACTCAAATGTAATCGTATAAATAAGGTTTTAAAGGAAACCAGGAGAGCGGAAAGTAGTAGCTATGACAGTGCAGATGAGATGTCGGGGTAGACGGGAATGATGGAGACAAGGTGGCGAGACCTAGCTTATGGGGCTATTTCTGGAGTAGAGCCAGCAAGATTTGCAAGATGCATTGAACATGGAATATGAGAGAGGGTGGGGAGGGGAGGACGGCTGTGAAAACACTAGGAAAACCAGGAATGTTAAGCACACAGGCTTATCTCTTCAAGGAATGTGTAGACCTCTTTCCCCCTCAGAAGACTGGGACTGGATGCGGTTAATAACCTGTAAGGCCGGGCTTGAATCCGCCAGAATCTTTATCCCAGACTTTCCCTCCCTAGGCCTTTACCTTTAGCTTTGTTTCTCAGTCAATAGAACCCATCTGTAGGGGAGATGTCACATGTACTTTATAGCCTGGTGACCTCTATGCTATCTTGATCACAGACCACACCAGACCCTAGACTCTTTTTTTTTTTTTTTTTTTTGGTCTTTCAAGACAGGGTTTCTCTGTGTAGCTTTGCACCTTTCCTGGAACTCACTTGGTAGTCCAGGCTGGCCTCGAACTCACAGAAATCCGCCTGGCTCTGCCTCCCGAGTGCTGGGATTAAAGGCGTGCGCCACCATCGCCCGGCGACCCTAGACTCTTGAACTATAGAATCCATCCTCACGGTAGAGGTCACATGTACTTGGGCAAAGAGTTTTGATGTAGTCACACCTAAAGCTTAATTGTGCACACGGGATTGAGATAACTGTCACCAGGAAACTTTTTTCCAAAATCGTGTTGTACTTAAATATGTCTAAAATCAACTGCCCAGCGTCAGACTCTAGAAGTCTGGTCATGCACTGGCCAAGTTGTGCTGAACCTGATTTCCCTTCTTACCTCTTGCCATCCATTTTCCTGCTGGCTGTAGCATTTGCAGGGACCCCCACAAGCAACAGAAAGGATAAAGTTGTCCTTAATTGAGAAGGGGAGACTGCCGTTCAAACTGGGCTGAACCTCAAAGTCAGAAGGCTAATTTGGAATTGTTGTTGTTGTTATTATTACTTATTTATTAGTTTTTTGGAGACAAGGTTTCTCTGTGTAGCCCTGGCTATCCTGGAACTTGCTCTGTAGACCAGGCTAGCATTGAACTCAGCAGAGATCTGCCTCTGCCTCTCAAGTGCTGGGATTAAAGGCATGCACCACTACTGCCAGGCTATTATTATTATTATCATTTTTTTAAAAGATTTATTTATTTATTATTATACAGTATTCTGCCTGCATGTGTCCCTGCAGGCCAGTAGAGGGCACCAGATCTCATCACAGATGGTTGTGAGCCACCATGTGGTTGCTGGGAATTGAACTCAGGACCTCTGGAAGAGCAGACGGTGCTCTTAACCACTGAGCCATCTCTCCAGCCCCTATTATCATCATCATGATGTAGTAGGATTATCACAAGTTTGAGGCCAGCCTGGGCTACATAGTAAGCACCAGGCCAGCCAGAGTGCAGAATAAGAACCCACCCCAAATTAAAATAAAAGCAACCCAAAATTCTCAAAACCCAGGAAGCAAATGTTCTGAAACACATATCTTTTTTTTTTTTTTTTTTTTGAGACAGGACTTCTCTGTGTAGCCCTAGTTGTCCTTGAACTCACTTTGTAGACCAGGCTGGCCTTAAACTCAGACATCTGCCTACTTCTGTTTCCCCAAGTGCTGAGATTAAAGGCGTGGGCCACCACCGTCTAGCTACATAATTATTTTTTCTGGTTCTTTTTTTTTTTTTTTGGTTTTTCGAGACAGGGTTTCTCTGTGTAGCTTTGCACCTTTCCTGGGACTCACTTGGTAGCCCAGGCTGGCCTCGAACTCACAGAGATCCGCCTGGCTCTGCCTCCCGAGTGCTGGGATTAAAGGCGTGCGCCGCCACCACCGCCCCGGCTTTTCTGGTTCTTAATATGCTGGTTCTTTCTGGATCTGAAACAATTCTTTTGTATCCCTGTCTTCCTCTTCAGCACTGGGGTTGAATTTAGGATTGGCCACAGGTTAGGTAAGTGCTCCACCTCTGAGCTGTTTCCCTGGCTTTCTTTTTACTTGGTGAGACAGAGTTTCACTGCATTTACCAGGCTGGTCTTGAACTCACTTTACATCCCAGGCAGGTCTTGAACTTGCCACAAACACTTGAGTAGCTGGAATTAAAGGCTTGAACCCCCAGGCCCAGCGTCAACATTTGTTATACCTGAAAATGGAAAAATAATTGTTTCCTCTAGAATCTAGTTTAGATCCAAAAAAATTTTTTTCAGCATTAAACTTGTTTTTCAGAGACTGGATTTCCCTATGCAACTCTCATCTGTCCTGGAATGTAGGCGGAGTTTCTCTGTGTCTTGGCAGCTGCCCCCAAATAACCATTCAGAGACTTACTAATTATAAATGTTCAGTTGATAGCTAGATGGCTACTAGCTAAATTTTATATTTTAAATTAACCCATAGTTCTTATCTACTCTCTGCCACTTGGCATACCCTCGTACCTTTCTTCAACACTGCATGTTCATCTTGTTTTTCTCTACATCTCTTCAAGACTTCCAAGACTCCACCCTTCTTCTTCCCAGAATTCATTCTGCCCCCCAAATCCTGCCTAGCTATTAGCCAATCAGCTTTTTATTAACAATGAGAGGAACACATTTTCACAGTGTACAGAAGGATTATTCCACAGCATTTCTCCCTTTTTGTCTAAATAAAAAAAGGGAAGGTTTTAAGTTCAACATAGTAAAATTATATACAACAAAACAGTTATCAAGTAAGAATTACAGTTACAATATCCAGTTCATTTGTATTTGGCAAAAGTAGAGAAAATTTTTTATTATCTATTTTTGTAGGTCTAGAGTTTTATACCTAATTTACTTTTTTTTTTTGTTTTTCGAGACAGGGTTTCTCTGTGTAACTTTGCGTCTTTTCCTGGAACTCACTTGGTAGCCCAGGCTGGCCTCGAACTCACAGAGATCCACCTGGCTCTGCCTCCCGAGTGCTGGGATTAAAGGCGTGCGCCACCACAGCCCGGCCTAATTTACTTTTTATCACAACTAAGTAAAACTGTTTAATTATTTGGTCTTTAACTCCCTCAAAGACCCTAGAAGGGTCTTCAGAGTGAGTTCCTGTGCTGATATATTATATACCCTAATAAAATATGCCTGAAGATCAGAGAACAGAACAAGCTACTAGATTAAACATAGATGCCAGGCAGTGGTGGCACACATCTTTAATCCTAGCAGTTGGGAGGCAGAGATCCGTCTGATCTCTGTTAGTTTGAAGCCCTCTGGACTACATGAGGTTACTTAGTTTAGGAGAGAAACAGAGCCAGGCCGTGGTGGCACACACCTTTAATCCCAGTACTTGGGAAGCACACATGTCTTTAAGGGCTGGACAGAGAAAGGTATATAAAGCATGATGAGACAGGAACTAGAAGCCTTTTCCACTGAGGAAGCTCCTTTGGCTAGAGGCCTATTGGCTGAGGGTTTTTCATGTTGAGGAGTCCTAGAGGTAAGACGTGGCAGTGGCTTGTTCCTTTGTCTCTCTGATCTTTCAGCATTTACCCCAGTATCTGGCTCAGGGTTTTTTATTATAAGACCTTTAGAAATTTGAGCAAAAAGTTCCAATTATTTATTCTTTAACTCCCTCAAAGACCCCAGAAGGGTCTTCCAGTGTGTTCCAGTACTATGGAACTCTCTCTGAAGACCAAGCTGGCCTCGAACTCAGAGATCCACCTGTCTCTGCCTCCCGAGAGACCCTGTGTCAAAAATAGACAAACAAATAAACAAATAAGAAATCTTGGGGCTGGAGAGATGGCTCAGCAGTTAAGGAATGCTTGCTACTCTTGCAGAAGACCCAAATTTCACCCCCCAGAGAGGTGAGTTCACAATCAGCTGTAACTCCAGAGGATTGACGCCCTCTATGCATCACTTACACACACACATACACACACACACACGCGCGCGCGTGCGCGCGCTAATAAATAGTAATTTTAAAAGTAAAATCTTGGCCGGGCAGTGGTGGCGCACGCCTTTAATCCCAGCACTTGGGAGGCAGAGCCAGGCGGATCTCTGTGAGTTCGAGGCCAGCCTGGTCTCCAAAGCGAGTTCCAGGAAAGGCGCAAAGCTACACAGAGAAACCCTGTCTCGAAAAACCAAAAAAAAAAAAAAAAAAAAAAAGAAAAACCAAAAAAAAAAAAAAAAAAAAAAAAGTAAAATCTTTATTAAACCCTCTGTGTTAAAAAAAAAAAAAAAAAGAATCAGACCTGAAGGCAATTCTAAATGCAATTCTAAATGCTTTGAGTAGAAGGCATCACTACGCAGCAACACCGGTCCAGCCACAGAGAGCCTCGCAGTGATCCTGCTCTATAACCACATTGGCCTGGAAATAACTAAACTCAGGGTATCCTGCAACTTGCTGCGAACCTCTTGCCCCCGCCATCCATGAGAACGCAGACGTGATCCAACAGGCCCTCCAGGCTTCCCCTTCACACAGAACTCCCGCCGGTCCCTATTTCTGCGCGAACCACATCCTTTGAAAAGCTTCTGTAGGAGGAGGGAGGGTCTCCGCTAGCCTACGTGCTCCGCCCTTCCGATCAAAGCTACATCAGTTCCTCGGCCGCCCCGGAAGGGCTTCCGGTAAGGCTGGGGCTGGGCGGGACTTCCGGTTCCGACAGCCAAGCGCCGAGTACTTCTTCCGCTCTCTCCCGCGGAGTTCTGGAGCGGCGTAGCCATGTCTTACCCCGCTGATGACTACGAGTCTGAGGTAAGGAGGAAATGTGCGCACGGCGGGCTCCGCGTCGGGGACCCGGCGCTGTGGGATCTGCCCCCGAGGTGAGGCGGCGTCCAGATCGGGCCGGAATATGCCGGCCGCGACCATGCTGGCCCTCCGGGCTCCGGCACTCCTCACCGGTCCCTCCCCTGCCCGCCTACTCGGCGTGTGTCCCCGCGTGTCTTCGCAGCCCTAGGCGGCCTGAAGGGTGTTTGGAGCTGCGCTGTGTCTGCTGCAGACGCGCGCATACTGTGCTTGCCTTATCTTATTTCCCGGGTAAACCGTGGGTCGTCTTTGCCCGCGCTCCCATTTCTCGCACACGCGTGAATCCCTCCGAGGTGGGGACTGTCTTAGCTGCGTGGTGTCGTCAGCTTGACGTGTACGCCCGAGGACGAGCATTTTGGAGTCCTCACTTGGCGTGCATTCCTGACTTAGTCTTTTTCCTTGCAGGCTGCATATGATCCCTATGCCTACCCGGGCGACTATGATATGCACACAGGTGAGACCTTGAATTTGCCCCGCTGGGCTCAGTGCCTCCAGATATTGGCACCTTTTTAAATGTCTCAGCATTGACTCCGACAGGGACCTGGTAAAAACTCCTCCTTGATGGGCCAGGTCTGGAGTCCGCCATTAGGCCTGAGTGGTAGGGTGGTGCAAGGGCCCAATAAATCAGGCCTTTTTTGTGGTCTTCCTGCCGGGGGGAGGATAACTGGCCTGGCTAGGTTTTCTTTACTTGTGGGTGATCTTATTTGACATGCTGGGAATGGAACCCAGAGCCCCAAGCTTCTAGGCAAGCTCTGAGCCACACCCACAACCCTCCTTACTCAAACCATCAGGCGAAGTTGAAAAACCTTTGTGGGTTTACTGTTTTGGACTGGATATTGAACTTGGGGTCTGGTGCACTCTGCACACACTCTACCATGTGACCCACACCCCAGCCCCGAGGAAGAAAATCTTGGTGTGAAAAATGTACTTGGTTCAAACCAAGTCCATGTAAAATACTCTGGGGAGGCTTTTGAAGTTTACTGAAATGCTACAGTGACTTTGAGATTAAGTACCAAGTGGCATGTGTTGCTCAGGGTACATCCTATTAAATGTTTTATTCAGACCCTTAAAGTAGTTTAACAAAGTATATGTTAATGTCTCTTTAAACGTGAAAAAACTGAGGAAGGAGGCTGGGTAGCTTGCCATGAGTTAACCTAGTTAGAAAATGAGTTTCTTTTGTTTTCTTTTTCTTTTTTTGTTGTTTTTTTTTTTGTTATGTTTTGTGAGACAGAGTCTCACTGTATAGTTCTGGCTATCCTGGAATTTACTATGTAGACCAGGCTGGCCTTAAAGAGCCACCTGCCTCTGCCTCCTGAGTGCTGGGTGTGCACAGCCATGCCCAGCTAAGAAATATCTTTGATGGTAATTGTTGTGAAGGAACAGTACAGTGGGATGGGATTGAGGGTGACTTGGGGAGAGTTTATATCTCTAAATGTTTAAAGGAAAATTATACTGGTTTGTGTAGATCTGAGTTTAGTTTGGGATGAGGTGCATGTTTCTGTGTCTGTCTGTCCACACTGACCCACCCCGACCGCAGCCTCAGATTGAATTTAGGCCCTTGTTCATGCTGGGCAAGCATTCTGTGATCAAGATTGAACTATACTCCAAGCCCTGTAGGTGGCCCTGCCCTTCTGGTCCATCATATCTATGAGCTTGCAAGCACTCTACAGTTTTTATTGTATCCATCCTCTAGGAGACCCAAAGCAGGACCTTGCCTATGAACGGCAGTACGAGCAGCAGACCTATCAGGTGATTCCTGAAGTAATCAAAAATTTCATCCAGTACTTCCACAAAACTGTCTCGGATTTGATTGACCAGAAAGTGTATGAGCTTCAGGCCAGCCGTGTCTCCAGTGATGTCATTGACCAGAAGGTGTATGAGATCCAGGACATCTATGAGAACAGGTATGGACCGTAATACTGTGTCTCTGAGTGGGACTGGCCTGGTGATGCAGCTCCTACAAGATGAGTAATGTGCGGTCGTGTGTGTGTGTGTGTGTGTGTAGAGGGCTTATGGTTTTGGGGTTTGGAGATGGTTTTACTGTGTTGTTATGACTCCTTTGGACTCGACCTTCCTAATGCTGCAACCTTTAACATACAATTCATGTTGTGGTGACCCCTCCAACCATAAATTTATTAACACTGCTACTTCATAACTGTAATTTTGCTGCTGTTATGAATTGTAATGTAAGTGTTTTTGCAGATAGAGGTTTGTCAAAAGGGTTTTGACCCACAGGTGGAGAACCACTGGGCTAGCGGCATGTTAATTAGCTCTAGACTTTGTATCCCACAGACAAAAAAGGTTCAAATCTAAAATAATGTCATCACTAATAATGATAGTAGTAGCTGTTAGCATATTCTCATGTAGGTCGAGCAGTGTTGGAGTACTTTTTGTGTGTTTACTACTTTACCTGTAACAGTAATCCCATAGTATAAGTTCTATGGTTTTTCTCTTTGTATAGTAGAGGAAACATCATAGAAATGAATCAGAGCTAGCACTGTGCAGATGCTTTGTTCTGAACCGGCACACTCTTGACCCCAGAGCCTAATTTCTGAACTGTACAACCTCCCAATGCATGCCATCACAGACCAAGCTCCAGAGTAGTGGTGAGGGGATGCCCTGATAATCGTGGATGCTAGATATAAGACAGGTCAGCCAGGGATGAGACAGGAGATATTTCAAGCAAGTTCTGGGAGGATGGGGTGTGTGTGCAAATGATCAGACACCTATTGGATCAACTAACAGGAGTTTAACTCTGTTCCCACATTGCTGAGGGTCGGAAGAGGAGGGCTAGGTTGAGGAAAGTCATAGGCTTGGAGGGCTCAGGCTCTGTTTCTGTGATATCTCTTATGTTCTCAGTCCCATAAAATTTGAGGGTTGGGTCCTGAATCTTTCTTATTTTGGAGTTGTGAATTGTTTTTGCTTGACTTTCAGCTGGACCAAGCTAACTGAAAGATTCTTCAAGAATACACCATGGCCTGAGGCGGAAGCCATTGCACCCCAAGTTGGCAACGGTAGGTATAAATCCGTGTCTTACGTGTGCTGGATAGCAGATATCATAGACAGGCCGAGGGACCTTGTGTGTGTTTCTTTTTTTTTTCTTTTTTGCTTTTCCAGACAGGGTTTCTTGTGTAACGGCCCTGACTGTCCTGTGCCTCACTCTGTAGACCAGGCTCTAATTCACAGAGATCTGCCTGCCTCTGCCTCCTGACTGCTGGGATTAAAGGCATGCACCACCACCACCACCACCATGGTCAGCCTGTGTGTGTTTCACTTTGCATTTTATTTCCCTAGAGCTTAAGATGTAGGTTTTTAGTAAAACTGCATGGTTAGATGTGGTGGTATTTTACTTGTACTGAAATGTGATTTTAATTGTATGTTAATAAATAAAGTTGCCTGGGGGTCAGAGCTATTAGAGCCATAGCAAGTGCTTGGCGGCGGTGGCGCACGCCTTTAAGGACCTGGAGGGCGGTACATTCAGGCAGTGACGAGGCAGTCACATGTTTGGGTTTACAACCAATGAGAAGGCAGAACAGCTAGACTATATAAAGACATACACACAGGAAGTAGGTCCCTTTCGGAGAGCTCTCTTGGCTGAAGGGGATCGCTGAAGCAGGAAGGGTGAGGCTCTTAGCTCTGACCTCTTGGCTTTCTTCTCTGAATCGACTCTGTGTTTCTTATTTAATAAGACGGTTGGTTACATCTACAGTTAGAGAACATGGTATAATTTGAGCATTCCCAGATAAGGAGTTTTCTTTTCCCTCTTTTTGGGGTGGGTGGTCTTTGAGTCACTTTGGTTTGAGCTTCCTAGCCCCTCACCTTTTCACTTTCTTTTTCTTTTTCTTTTTTTTTTTTTTTTAATAATTTATTTATTTTTATTTTATGTGCACTGGTGTTTTTGTCTGCATGTATGTCTGCGTGAGGGTCCCCTGGAACTGGAGTTACAGGCAGTTGTGAGCTGCCATGTGGGTGCTGGGAATTGAACCTGGGTCCTCTGGAAGAGCAGCCAGTGCTCTTAACCGCTGAGCCATCTCTCCAGCTCCCACTTTCTTTTTCTATGTGGTGAGGATCCGTTTAGAGCCAGTGATAACATGGTGAGACCTGCCTCAGAGCGGGAGAGAAGGGGCAGATGGCTAGGAGGTTAAAAGTAGAATGGAGCATAGTTTTCTCTGGGTGTATATAGTCTTTTTATTGAGACAGGCTCTCATCGTGTGTAGCCCAGGCTTACCTGGAATTCACTGTGTAGAACAGACTGACCTCAAACTCAGAGGTCTCCCTGCCCTAGCCTCTCAAGTGCTGGGACTAGAGGCGTGCACTGCCCTGACTGGGTGCATAGGTTCTTGGGACATCAGCTTAAGAGTTTAGAACAGCAGTTCTCAGCCTGTGGGTAGCAACCCCTTGAGAAGGGATGAACTACCTCTCACAGGGTTCGCCTCTAAGACCATCAGGGAACACAGATATTTGCGTTACAATTCATAACAGTAGCAAAATTACAGTTATGAAGTAGCAGCGAAATAATTTTATGGTTGGGGGTCAGCACAACAAGAACTGTGTTAAAGGGTTGAAGGTCAGGAAGGTTGGGAACCACTGGTTTAGGAGTTTGCCTTCTAGGTCACCTCTGCCCTACATTGAAAGGCTGCAGCTGCAGGAAATACCAGTCGGTTTGTAGACTAACGGAGTACCCTTCGGCTTTGTCTTCTAGATGCTGTCT